GTTGAGCTCATATTCAAAATGGCGGCCGTATTTGGCAGGAATTTGCGGTGTTAGTAAAGTGATAGGTTTTAGGTTTTCGGGTTCGCCGAATTCATATCTGAATGGAGAAATGTGCCATAACGGAACGAAAATCCGACCTGGTTCCCAAATACGACAAAATAGCTAAGTTTAGGAGACCATGAAAGAAAATAGTAATGTAGTAATGACCAAGAGCACGACAGAATGAGGGTTAATAAGAACAACTACCTCGAAGACACTCTACTCGAAGCTTCGCAGCCAAACACAATCCACCATCGTACCATAGTGAGTTGAAAGCAAATGTTTCTAAAAGTTACCTGGAGCTTACATCTGATGTAACAGTGCAGCTACACGTTCATTCTGGAGATGATGAGTGTTTCAATGGTCATTTTGGTTGCCCTAAAAAAAGCCATCTAGAGCTCAACAGTGAAGTCAAAATGTATGAATAGTACCATTTGACCACGGACACGTGAATGCAAAGATGCAATATACAGCGAGGTGTGTGTACAATGACCAGAAGAGTGGTATATTGGCAGTTTTCTGAGCTTCTAAATGGAGTTCTATATAAAACTTAGAGGTCTTGCTGTTTACCACTAAATACAGGACCATACCAACAGAAGCTACGGAGAGCGAATTGTCAAGTCAAGCATACATTATGATCCACTATGACACCCGTCCGTACCTCCCTCTCTACTAGAAAACAGAGGAGAATAAGAAATGGAAAATGTTTGTCAGCGTGACACGAAATCCCAGCTTTACCCGTGCGTATGCTTGACCTAATGACTGTCTCGGACAAATAATTCATCCCTGTTGAATGATATGAGTGAAAAGGGAAGAATCAGACTGTTCTACCGATTGCGAGTATTCCCATGATTCAAGCGAGGATAAGTAAGACAAATATGTAAGGTTGGGCAAGACAAATATGTGAGCACCAGCTTTCAAAAAGATTTGCTTTCAACTCACGATGGTCCGATAATTGATTGTGTTTGGCCGTGTATAGTTTGTGGTCTTATAAGAATACGGGGGGAAGAATGTCCTCGGGGTGGTTGTACTTAAATCTACACATACTGAAAATATATAATCCATCAGAAAACATTCGGTGGACTATATTTTATAGGTTTGTCGACCTGCTGTTGGAGTCTAAATCAGAGCCCGCGATGGGGCACTCTGGGACCTCGGACAAGCAACTCCCCAAATCATGCATGTTCAATACCCAAAATCATGTTGAACTGGATTCAAACAGAAGGGAGCCAGGGTCCATGGACAAGTGTCCAGGCTGCCCCCTCCCTCTCTCGCGCCCTGGAATACCTAATATCATGTTGAACTGGATTCAAACTGAACGGGGCCCTGGTTGGACTAACTACTAATGCCAGTAGTTACGCTTGTCTCAAATTTTGACGTTGATGTTTAATCCACTAAGCCGGTTCGACCTCGTGTTGGTATATCCTTTTACATAATAATTTTGTTGTCTGTACGTAAAGTTAAAATTGGTTATGCGGTCAAATCATGTTTAGATAAAGCTGGAAGATACAGGTCCCAGGTGACGCTTCTATGCCAGACTCGAACTCCTTAATCCGACCCTTAGCGTAACTGTTTAATTTAACAGAAGTATTTTTAAATCATTCAAACAAATGACGCGCTTCTTGAGTGTTTGCAAAAACATTACGTGGGTTCTATGTTTCAAGGCTACTGGAATATACATCATAATCATTGCTCGACCAGTGCCAGATGTGGTACAATATGATTCGAGCATGATCCCCAACCACCTTCTCCCCCAACCACCGCAAACACCACTAAAGATATAACTATTTGGTTTTGTGCTCTCGCGGGATCGTGTTTCTTACACAAAATCCACCGTCACCACGCCCCTGGCGCAATAAGATGAGACGAAGGGACATTTATATAAATACGAAAAACAACCACGGTCTTCCTAATCATCTAATCATCCACGGTGCAAAACATTCCTCCGCGGATGATTAGGAAGACCCGGAGTTGGTTTTCGTGTTTGATTTACCACCGCGGAGAAAAGGTGTTTCATGTTTTTATTTATTTACCACAGATTTCATTGCGAAACACTCGTTCGTTGTATTGCAAATTTAATCTAGTAAATTGTGCTTGGGCGCAGGGGTCTTTAGCAGAGGGAAGAAACCGGAGGACCCGGAGAAAACCCACGAGGTTTGACAGGCGACCCTATTCCTTGTAACGTACAAGCGGAAATTCGAAATCACGCCACTTGACTCAATGACAGACCTTATGATCAAACGCGCACGCATTAACCATTTGGCCACCCAACCCCCGGAACTACATGTACAAGTTTGGTCAAAGGTTACGAGATGTAAACAGGGCTAGAGCTAATCCCAATTCCAAAACAGCAAAAACAACTTTGTATATAAAATTCAATGTATTGTAAGCATTTTTTTTATATAAAACTAGGAAATATCAGGAACTGAATTTTCATCATCCTAGGTCAGTGCTTATGTGGAGACTCAACCTCTCCATTAAATTCTTAAACTTAAACCTGGACCTAGACCTAACGCTTACCCTCACCTTAACCTACAATCTCGCCAACAATCACGTGCCCTAACCTTATTTACAGCGACCTTGGCGAAAACTGAGCTGGCCTTAACAAATAGATTTAGCCCCCAACCCCCCAGAAAAGGGTATAAATCAAACGAATGATGACACACACGTTATAGAATTATACCTCATATGCCCGCTGAGTTCACCGTGACGTTATGCCCCCCCCCCACCATAATTCTGGTCTGTCCTCTGTTTGCCCCCCCCCCCCCAATAATCTAAAAAATAAAAAAAAGTATTTGTGATATGTTTGGTAATGCAAACCTTCTAGGGTGATTAAGTCCCACATTCCCACTTAGTCATAGACAGGCATGTTGTAGAGTCTGAGTGATTTCTTACCAAGCCCATCCAGCTGTAAATCTACTATAAACATTAATAATACGTGAACCACTTGAGAAGAGCTTTTTATGATCCTCAAAGTTTTTGGGTATAGGTTCAACGCGGCGAGAATATTCATTCACTTTAATACACTCACTCCGTTGCTTTGACCCCCCTCTCTGTTCGGATAAGCTAGTGATTTGGCGACTAACAGAATTTTTTCAGCTCTATTTATCTCGATGACCATCTGAAATACTGCCAGGCTGCATTTCCGGCAGTCTATTTTTCAAATTTTCAAATTTGAGGTTTGCGAGTCCGTTCGTTTGACACTTTCCTCACTGGGGTCGGATAAACTAGTGATCAGGCGACAGACGGTATCTGAACAGCTCTATTTATCTCGAGAATCGGTGCCTGAATACTGTTAGACAGCGTTTCTAGCAGTCTATTTTTTAAACTTTTCTTGTGGAGGTCTCGCTACTTTGATGCTCATGAGTGGGCTTCGTCGAGGTTCGCAACGATCAATGCCTGAAATACTGCCAGACTGCATTTCCGGCAGCCAGTTTTTCAAAACTTTATGAGCGACCCCCCCCCCCACACTATCCTAGTTGAAGCTCGTGCCCTTCCCCATAAACCTTGGGCTTTGCCCCTCCAACCACCGGCGCCGCCACTGGTCGGCAACTGTCTTACATTTTACAGTCACGCCAAAAATCATACTTCAGTTACATTATGTCTCCCCAGCCCTTCCAGACATATCAGTTATATTAAGAATGGGATTTGTTCGAAATTCTGCCATTCTTCATTAGTTGATTTTGTATAATTGAAACGGTTTGCCGTAAATTGTCTGGTAGCTATAGAAATATGAACAGACTGAGAGGGTTATAAATGGTTTAGTCTGTGTAAGCTATATAGTTCCCCAGTGTCGGTATTACATTTCTTTGTGTTTTCAACATTTCAATTATCTATAATTTTGTCATTATTTTATGAAATCATTTAAATATTGGATACGATGTGTAGATACACTGGAAATGAATTTATAAATATTTAGGCTATTATTGGCCGTACATAAGTATTTTCGGGTCAATGCATATATCGGGCGTATAAATATTACAGAGGTATTTGCCTGCTATGACCCATTATGAATTTCAGCTTGTACGTGCAAAGGAGCAGGGTAGCCTGTCCAACTACGTGGGGTTTCTCCTGTTTCCTCCCACGACTAAAGCCCTCAACACACAAGCGAATTCTTGCAAAAAATAAATTAAACCAGTGTCCCAGAAGTTTCCGACTTCTCCAATATGCGATCTGTATGAAAATAGTTTATTATCTCGCATAATCTCCTTTGTCATCAATGCACTTGTTCCGCCGTTTACCAGCCCCAGCAAATTTAGCCCGTCAGAAAACTACTGTTTGTCACGTAATCCTATAAACTCGTCCACAATAGTGATTACCTGTCATCTGTCCCGAATCTGCGGCCAGATTCTAGTTGTGGGAAGATGAAGAAGTCAGGTGGAGCTAGATCTGGAAAGTAACAATATGACCAAGCATGTGGATCTCTCCGATTATGTTCATGTGCAAATAAATGTTCGTGGATTATTCGTTCCACTGATGTCGTTTTCTAATGTCTTGTGCAGAAGCTAACTACATGTATTGAACAGTTACTCGTCATGTCATTCCCCGGTTGTACGTGACAAGGAGTAGGGACACCTGTCCAACCTCGTGGGTTTTCTCCGGGTCCTCCGGTTTACTCCCACTGCTAAAGACCCCTTGGATACAGTTTGGATTTAAACAGTCGTCCATTTAAAATTAAATCAATAAATGGCGACCAAGCTAACGCTTACCGTTAGTCGCTGTCACTGGTGATGAAAGGCCTGCCAAGCGAGCCTCCATAGCCACTGAGCATGTTACTTGATAATCGAGAATATGTGGGTGGAATTATCGTCTGTCAATCAAATGATCGCCAATTCTCATAGACGGTGCAGAAACAATTGATGTCTATTTCTAGCCCAAACTTCCAATTATTATAGCAAGAATGACCAACTCTTTATAAAACTCTTAACTAATGTATCTTTAAGCAGGAAATTAAATAAAAATACAAGTGTTAATTATATTTTATTAATTTATGAACAAATAATAAAATATGTTTGAGGGAGTCATTAAAACATAAAATGCAGCAAAGTTGTCAAAAAATCATGGTTCCAAATGTCTGAAATTTACAATCCAATAATAATAATATTGAAAATCAAAAGTGTTCCTCCCCATACCTCAATGAATAATCCCATTAAGTGTAATAAAAAAATTTGTTGCAGAACCTGTATTCATCAATTGGAAAATAGGAGGGAGAATACTCTGACTTCAAAAAACTCTGGGATTTGCAATCTCAATTTCGCTAGGGTATTTCCTTAACCCTGATGTCAAACAACTCCGGCATTTGCAATCCAATGCAAAAAAGCGTGAGAATTTTAAAAAAACAGATCAGTCAATAACTCTGACCTAATGCTGGATGAAGGTTACAATAATATACATCCACATCGAACGTGGGCGTGTAAAAATAACTTTGTATGTCAATAAAGGTGTGTTGGAACACAAGGAGAGCTAACCAAAATGTTCATGATTTATGACTCTGTCAGACATCAGTTGATTCTGTGCTAGAAAGAAGATACTGATGACTGATCATATTTATTTTTAAAATTTTATGCAGCCCCAACAACATATAATATCTCAATATTAAGTTCTATTTACACAGTTTTTTGTCAACGGTTATAAGAGTCAAGTCATTCAGAGCAAAATAGAACTTGTTATTAAATTTTTGTTTCCATAAATCGATTTATCTTTGAAAACACATACAATAATTCTGATACATGTTTTAAAATTCATGAAATAAATAAATTAAATATTTGAATTCATGTGGACGGACTAAATACAAACATACAAATTTGCTGAACAGATTATTAGAATGTTTGTAATTATTGTAACAAAAACATTATAAGAATATCAACAACATAATTATGGAATGACTTTTAAAAATATAACATTCGAAATAGTTCCTGATTAATTTCAGGAGAGTTTGGGGCAATCAGAACCACAAAAATTTCTTGGTTGAACGTAGCCTTCTTGTTTATCTCTGAAAAGGAAAATTAACAACAATATAAATGAAATGGGTTTTAATGTCCCTGAGAAAATAAAAGAGGAAGGCAATACATCCTCACCAGAAGAAGTTAAAAATAACAAGTGTGAGCATGTTGTTATCGCTGCTGTCCTTCCGGACGTCCACAATTTGTTTGTGGACACTACAGGTCACAATTTTATCTCATTTTGACGAAACTTGAAATATAGGTTTATCTCCCAAAGATCTCGGTTCCTGTCGTTATTAGCATGTATCCGATTCCGACTGTAACTTCATGCATTATGCCCCCTGATTGTACGAAAGATCATGTTTTTAGCTTGTGGACACTAGAGGTCACAATTTTTGTCTGATTTTGATGAAACTTAAAATATATGTTTATATCCCAAAGATCTGGATTTCTTTCGATATTTAAGCGTATCGGACCCGAACTTCCTGGATTATGGCCCCTGATTGTACGAAAAAAACATTTTTTTTTAGCTAATTCTCTGTCCATATCTAGCAAAATGTGGGCGTATCTTGCATCCCTCCAAGAAGAACAAGATTACAAAGTGTAAACAAATGGGGGTTTTAATATCCACTGAACACAACTAGTTTATACTTGGACTAACATATGTTAATATTGAACTGAAACTAAAAGGTTCGGACTGTCGCCATTACGTGCCAAATTTTTTTTTTTTCAAATACAGCACATTATAGTCTACAGCCCAATGCTATGCCCCTTTTAAAAGGGACACAGCTTTTTAAGACAATCTTGTGGTACTTTCAGTGACCGATGAGAGAGAGAGAGAAATGGGGTTTAACGTCCACAACACAAACTAGGTCGTTTCGGGACTAATATATGGTTCAATTTTTATTTCAATAATTCGCTTACGCGTAGGGGTCTTTAGCAGTGGGAGGAAACGGAAAGACCCAGGAGGTCGGACAGGCAACGTTATTCCTTGTCATGTACAACTGGGGAGTCGAAACCACACCAGTTGACTCAATGACAGACCTCGTAATACCGCTTTCATGGGCTAACCATTCGGCCATCCAACCCCCCCAGTAACAGATGAAGGAATATACTTACACATCATACTGAAGGTGACTGACTACATCATTGATTTGTTGTTGGGAGATTTCACCATCTATTTGAGCTAGATATGTATATAATTCTTTAAACAATGGGAAAGGAATACGTGATGGACCACCCTCTGGATCTGCTGTTAAAATTTCACATATTGTTTTCATAGATTGTGTTATATTCTGAAATACAAACAGGAATGTAATTCAAGGTAGGATTACTAATTGTGCGGACGAATTTAAAGGAGCAAATGCACAGATAATTAAATTCTGAAAATGTGGAAAGAAAGCATATAGATATAGAAAATATAAATATACATTGACTAATATAAATCCTGAATGACTGACAAGGGGTAAAAAAGGCTGAAAAATCAGGAGAAACTTCCTCGGCCAATACCCGGATCAAATCTGGGACCTCCTGGTTAGTGAGCCTTTAACATACTCACTGAGCCACCTTCTCAAATAAAACACTTGACTTTATATAAATCGAGAGAGCGATTGCATTAATCAATGCAAGAAGATTTTTTTGATATTTTACAAGTGGTGCATGACAAGAGGCCTGACTAGTTGTTTGGATGGGATGCAAAACTGAAGTCCTGTGTACTCATTGGCATGCATGTAAAAGAACCCTTGACTGCTGGAATTTGAAATAGGCCGTAGCGTTGCTATCCAGGAAAAAATTCCCTCATAGTATAGCAAGCACACTGTTCATGCCCATCTTCATTAGCCCAGTCAGTGCAGAAAAGTATGAAAGTTGCCATTACACACTGACAGTTCAGAATCTAACTGATAACATTATATTTACCTCTCCTAATGCTGAAGCTGCAATAGCTAAAAATTTATTCCACTCAACATCACCTCCAAATGTACCAATTCTAACCATATCATCAAACTGTTCTTTAGGTAAAGACAAATCTAACCATTTCTCCTCTATTACACTAATAGGTGCAGTCTTTTTAGGACCTAACTGTAATAAAAAATAAGGGACCAAAATATGATTAATCAACGATTTTATTGTTGTACTGTTGAAGTTTGTCAAAGCTTTCTTTGCATACTGCAATACTCCTAACATGAGGAGTTTAGACATTCCACTACTGAGAGAAAATTTGCTATTTTCAAGTTCAGCACAGTTCAATTAATTTCAAAACTAAATTGATAAGTCTGACTTTTGTTTCAAGAGTTCAAGGGACAGTACTCTAGTTATTACTTTTCATGTGCAAGAACCTTCTAGGCAAGAAAAATACATGTACACAATATTACCATATTGCATTGACAATTTAACTTTGTGAAAAAATGCTTCTTGATTTTCTTGGAATTCAACAAGCAAAATTTTGTTTGTGTGGTTTAAAATGAAACACTATACCTGCAGTTTGATACTGAAATCATTAAAATCTTTTGAGCCAATCCATAAGGGTCGTTTTCCATGTACCGTTTCCGCTGGTTACATGAAATGGTCCCATTACATTTAGTTTGACCAACTTATTTTGTCGGCGAAAATGAGTGTCGAAACGCAACAAGGATAACGGACTTTATTCAACATGAATTGTTTGGATAATATAAATCATTTATACCAACCTGTCTATTTAGAACTCTTAATAAACCTGGTGTTAAACCTGTGTCTGTTTTCTGTGTGGCTACTGGCATTTCTAATCTCTCTTTTACTGGTGGGGTTTCCCCTTTCGACATAGCACGGAAATAACTACAACAGAAGAAAAACAAATAATCAATTCAACACAATATTTTTTTTATAGCATTCACTTATTTCTTCAAGTCATTAATTAGGCCCCTATTTACTCAGCTACTTTATTTTGTGTATTAAAATAATAAATGTCATTTGATTGTTTTATTTTATTTGTTTAATTCAAGCATATTTTGCTAAAAAAATTGCAATCGTCAGGTTTCATTTCCCTATTTTTCGGCATTTGGCTTTCACACTTTTTGTTGGATCAAATAGTAAATGCAGGAGTACTGCACTACACGCAAACAAAACCTATAAGAAAACCTGCGGACAAGACAACTCAGAAATTGCAAGCAATTAACAACAAAGAATAAACCAAGTGAATGAATGTGGGGGCCAGCCGTAAGTGTCCACTGTGTTGTACAAGACATCAAGAGAAATCTACTTACGCTGCTGACCATGCCAATACATCTTTCGGTTGTGTTCTGATAGCAGCTTTTGTAAACTGTTTTAAAATATCAGGTAATTCTGGAGGTATACTGATTTGTTGAGAACAGTAGTAAGGTTCATCTGGATTGGTAGGCATCTTAAATATTTACTGAAAAGGGAATTTAAAAAAAAAAAAATAACTCCGGAAACTGAATCACTTCAGAATTATTGTAGCTGAAATATAAAATACAATTTAACAGTAAGTTTTGTCTTGGCTAGAAATAATTAAAAGATGATCAGAAAGCCTATGTTACTAATATTAGTATATTTTTTAAATTCAGTTCAAAATCACAAAAGGTAACTTTCTTTTTCATTTGAACAAGTTTTTGTTACAGTATTTTTGATGTGAAGTCTCATTGCCGATGTAAAGTATAAAGATCATCTGATGATGGCATTTTATGATTTATGTGCGTACCTGGCTGTCGGCTGTACGTCCTGCTTTTAACTAACTAAAGAGGACAAGGTACTAGGAATTACACTGACAGGATATCATTGAAGGAATTTTTACCAGGAGTGTTATCATAATCTGTATTACCATCGTTTTGGGAACTATAGCTACAGATGAAATTGGTTTTTGTTCAATATCTTGACACACCAGTAGTACTAGTAGTAGTTTATGAAAGCTATACTCTAACTCTGTATATAGGATTCGCTTTTTCAACAGGATGAACATTATGATAACACATAGCAACAAGAAGGCTCTAAACAATCATCACATGGGTGGAATATTCCCTTGGATGTGAATTAAATGCCATTAGATCTACATGCTTATGTCTTTGACATTAAATTCATTTCGATTTCTCTTGAAAAGCTGGAAACTTCAACTTCAAGAATTCAGTTTTGACCTCTACTTTCCACGACTAGCCTACAGTCTTTAGGAAATCCAAGCAACGTAACAAGTCTTTTTCTCAAACATACCTTTTCTAAATTTGCTGGAGAGTGTTAAGTGATTAATCGCTTTCGCCTGACAAACTAATTCTAGAACTATAAGTAATTTATTTATTTACAACTCGATCCGTTGCTTAAAATTTGTTGATAGCAACAATGACATGCGCAACGTTGTATCTCATTTTCCACTTCCGGTATATTCCCGCGATGGACGAAAAGAAAAGGAATGATAAATGAAATAGATGTAGCTTATTTGCCAATGTCAGACATAATAAATAATACTTTTGAAGTCGCAGTAAACCAACTCTATGTTGTATTTGTAACGCTATGCCTTTGTAACTTACATAAATCCGAATTTCGTATTTTTTCTGTTTTGTTGACTTCAAAGGATAGCCGTCACTAGATGGCGCTGCAAACGTTATGCTCCACAATCAACAGCACACAACAAGCACAATGCATCCTTTTGATACCGCTTTATTCCTCTGTTGAAGAGTTTTGAATTGATGGAATTATGTATTTCGACATGATTTACACAGCTTTGTATCCTAGTTTTTTCTTTATTACTATCTTGTCGACGAGTTAAAAGTGTGCTTATGTAAAAAGATATCGACTTGTCTCGCTGACAGTTTTGAATTAGGAGTTACTTCCCTTCAGGTTGTTGACGTCAGATACGTCATTCATTGACGTCTGCTATACTACAAAGTCAAAGAATTATTTTTGTCCTCTCACCAATCAAGAAGGAAAAAATTGAATTCACAGAGACTCAGAGATAGGGCTAGATAAAATAGCATCAAACTAGATCGATAGAAATAGATACCTTTAACAATTTGTCTTTGCCATTTGGCATTCCAGGAAGCGGTGAAGTGTATGACAAATTCCAGAGAGTTTGGTGCTGGCGTCAGACTCATTCATCATCAATCAATTATATTATAAACACTGACACTACAAGTATAGTCAGGGTGAGAGACACATACAGCAGCTGTGGAAAGCTTATTATGTAAGTGGGAGGAAAACATGATGAGTCACAGATAAGCTAATCGCTGGCGGCAACTAACTTACTATTTAGGCTAGCCTAGGTCTAAGCCATTTAGTTACTAATTAGCCTAGTTTAGCCTAGCCCAATCGGTGCAGAAAAGTAGGAGGATGTTTTTAAATTAAAACTCCATTTACCGTTTTAGTTTTATGTAAAAATTTAGATCTTATTGAATATTTTACTCCCTAGATTATATAGTAGATAAAATATTTGATACGGTATCTAGACTAGACATTATCAATATCATTCATAATCATTATGTATGTAGGCCTAGCCTAGGAGTAGCACTAGCAGGCCTGCTACTGCTAGCTAAACTTTTGTAAAGAAACTTAATAAGTTAGAAGAACTGTCTTTAGTAGTGAAGAAATGAAATGTCTACCATCTATTTTTCTGCATTCTGTAGATCATGCATAACAAAATTTAACTTTCTTATTTTTATTTAATTTTTTCAGTTTTCAATTTGATTACCAAGCTCAACTTCGATAATATACAGTATGGCCACAGCAACTCTACAAAAGGAAAAAACGGGATCAGTATGTATCACCATATCTTTGTCTCTCGGAATTTGTGTTTTCATTATAACCAGTTATGACCTAGAAAAAGTGATTTTAGACGTTGGCCTACATTACATAGATGACAAAATTTCAGACAATATTAAACTTGTACCTGACATTTTTAACTGTGTGCCAGGTATAAGCTTATAGCCCCAAAGAAATATCAATAAAAAACACAGAATACAGAAAATTCTGTTCCGACTGGATGCAACAGGATTGTGCCTGACATTAGTGACAGCCTTTATTTGTGTCTGACAGGGGCCATATATCCAGGTTTGGTCCTGGTATTAAATTTCATGCAGATGAACACAAAAGCTGTTAAAAAACAGCTCAATAAATCCTCTTGTCTTTGCTAATGTGAAAGTTATCAAGAGTAATCTTATAAAAATTTATAATTTCTTAGTAACTTGGTCTAAACTAATTACAGCAATTATGTGTATATTTTTATATGAATGATCCATGATTTAATTTTGCTAATGACTTAAAATTTCAGTGGTCTTCAATATTTCCAACTAGTCAGATAACAGAAACCCAGTCAGCATTGTTTGTAAAGAAATTACTAGCTGTATCGATATCCAATGTTGCTTATCTCAGAGCTATATTTCCTGAACATGCATTTGGTGATAGATGTCTTGAAGGTAGGCTACTGTTTCATTTTGAAACATCTAAGTATCAAATTAGTTTCAAAATAAGCCCAGGTACATGAAACTGATGATACTAACTTACTAAGGGAAGGCTGACGTTTTGACTACTGAGGTTACAGTGACAGAGGTTAAATATACAAATTTTGCCCAGGGCAGTCCCCTCTAAACTAGTCTAGGGGGTGCTTGTTATTCGTGGGGATAAAAATTCGGTACTAGCTTCTGTCAATAAAAAGGAGCTAGCTGGTTAGTTTGTTAGTGGGGGTTAATGTCCTCTTCCACTGAGGGTGATATCGCAGACAATAGAGCTAACTGGTTAGGATTGTGGGTTTATGTCAAAGTATTATGGTAAATTGTCGCCTGGGAGTCAGTACCATCTAAGTTGAAAGTGTTAAGTTTTCAGGAGAGGCAAAAAACTGTACAATTTCATTCAAAATATTAATTACACAACAAACATTGGCATGAAAGATCTAATTGGCATGTCTGATAAAACTGTAAGTTGGGTTTCTGCTATGCCGTGATACCTTACTTAATACCTGGTTTCAATCTTCTGTGGTTTTGAGTTACGATTTTCAAGTGGTTGTTGAGCTATGAGGCTTTACCTAATGAAGAACTAAATACATAGGAGGTTTTGTGGAGCCACGGTGGCCCATTGATTAATGCACTGTATCACTAATTAGAGGGTCGCGGGTTAGATCCTGATGGTGGTCGACAAAGAACCACAGGATTTTCCAGGGTATTTTCCTCGTCAGTGGAACAGGACAAAGTTTCTGGTATTTAAGGATGTCACGTGTCTAGTCTTTTGCAGGTGGGATGGAAAACAGAGGTGTCGTGCACACGTTGGGCTGGCAAGGGACAATGTCTAGTCATTCAGATGCGACGAATAACCAAGGTCCTGTGTACACATTGGCGTACATGTAAAGGAACCCTTATGATATATGGGTAGACAGTAGTGCCGTTGTCAGGGCATAATTTCCCTCTTGGCAGGAGAATGCAAAAACATGTAACTCAGATTCATACTCAAAATAGGACGGGGTCAAATGCGAGGTTCATGGTTAAGATGGACATTCGTTCTAACCAATCGAAATACAAGGTTTTGTCATGTGACTTTTACACCAAATTTTTTTGCCGTAGACGTACAAGTTGTTTAGACTGTATGTATCATGGTGGGAATAGTCAATTGATGCTAAAACATGAAAATCGCAAAAAGCTGAGTTACCCGATGACGAAAGTAGGTCTTGAGTTTTATCTGTCTAATGAAAACATAATAATGTTTTGCAACAAAACTCTTAAAAAGGCAAAGATTGTCCTGTAGTAAGATGCCACACACTACTTTTCTTCTTAGACTTGTATTTGCTTTTTTCAGACCTTAATTTGAAAATCTTGCGAGATGATAGTTCATGTCCCGGTGCCTGTAAAGTCATCCAGTGGGTAAAGGGATGCTTTGATGCATTAGACAAAAAATATGTAAGTATATTTAGATTTCCTTATTATAGACTTATGAATCCAGGTGTATTCGTAGCAAAAATATGATCTACCATTAGTCTCAAAATGATTGAACTTGCGAGTTAATCAATCTGATTAAAACAGATCCAATTTCGTTTCGTTTTTTATAGTTCAAAATTTCGTTTTACTTGTCTTCACAACACTAGGATCTGGAAGAGTTGTTACATAACATGTGTTCTAGTTGATGTGAGGGATTATCCAATGAAACAGTCTGTTACAGCAAGCTTTTGGCGTGTGGGCACGAAACTGTGGGTAATCCACTAGAAACATCAATGCTGATTGGTTAATCAAATGTCTGATGTCATAGGGTCAAAAGCCCCTCGTATGACCCCTGACAAGACCTCCCAGTACAACTGGTCAGATCTTCATGTAGTGCAGGCCATCGGAAGTATAAAAAAACGAAACAAAATGTAGATCTGTATTTTAATCAGAATGGGAGTTAATTTTAAATAGTCTCGAGATGTTAAAAATTTTTAGTTTTATTGACTTAGCTTTCAGCGACGTTATTTTATTATTATTTGGATATTGCATGGAATATTTATAAAAATTTATAATTATTTATATTCAACCATTTGTCTTTTTTCCAGCTTCGTTTATTGGTGATTGGGGTAAGACATTTGTCTGTTTCTGTCATTAAACAAAATACTATTGTTGGTTGTTGTTAGCATACCTATAGATTGATTACGGTAAATCATAAAGATAAAGCAACAAAAAATATATTACATATTATGTTAGATATTTAAATATGAAATTAATTTCTTTTTTCCAATAGATTTATGTTGACCCAGAAGATCCAGAGGTAAAATTAAGATTATTTAGCAAATTACATATATTACAAATACATCCTTTTAACTACCCTAATTATTATAACTCTTAATAGATATTGGCTGTTTTAAGATCGTTTGTTTGAGATTAGGTAGGCTAATATATAAGATTTACCTCCCTTGTAACAAATGCTATTCTTTTCCCTGACTTTCAGATTTTCTGATTAGTTACTAATTTAGAAATTACAATAAATACTTGTATTCTGAAATTAACATGTTTTATTGTGAAAATATGTTAAACATGTATTTAGATAAAAAAAATGGTTATGTGATTATTCATATTTCAAAACAATAGCTCTAGGTCACTCTAAAACTTCCGTCTTCATTAGCCCAGTTGGAGTAGAACAGTAGGACGTTAAACCCCATTTCATTTCCTCTAAAACTTTGTATTGCACGAAGAAAAAGGGCATCATGTGAATAAATGCCTAATTAATTATTTATATAACATTTGGAGCCAAAAAAGAGACTGTTATAGGAATATTTAGGTTTTGCATAATGCATCTTTAAAACTTTGGATTGCAAGCAGAAAAGGGGATCATGAATTGGCAGAAATATCAAATTTTATACCTGTCCATGCTGATAACTATATCAATTTTAAGCCTATCAAAAAGGTGATAACTTCAAAATTTGAGTAAAATCAAAATAGCACTTGCAAGCTAAACTATGATAATTTTTTTGTAAGAGTTTATGTATTATATAAGTGTTAACACAATATGAAATAAAATGGGGTTTAACATCCTGCTTTTCTGCACAGACTGGTCAAGGCCCTCCATCCTGCACCACTGACAAGGGTCACTATGCAGGAAATCCCGAGGAACTTTATCAGCCAGCACCTGCAGGTAAGGGAGCCAACATATTAGGAACTGAGCCACAAGGTACAGTACATCTTATATTTTTAATTTTCTTGGGGTATTACTTTTTATTACAGACAGTGATAGAATCGTATACATTTAAATTCTCGTATGCTGAAACTGGAGGAATTGATATCTACAGGTATGTATGAATGATGAGTTTTAAATAGTGTGCTGCATGCTCAAGAGCGGGGGTGGTCAACCTTTTACATACCACTGTTCACATGCGAATTCAGATGTGCCATACAACTCTTGTACCCAAGATTGGGGGCCATTACATGCTCACTCAAGAGCAGGGGTGGCCATCTTTTTACATGCCATGCGTCAGTTTGTTCACACACATACAACTCTTTGTACCCCATCTACCTCAATGAACAAAAGTCCATTTTTCCTAGTTTGATTCATTAAGCATATTTTAATGTTAAAAAAGATAACATTCACAAAAAAGGATGTGCACGAAATAATAAAATTGCCATTGTTCATACGCAAATTCAGATGTGCCATACAACTCTTGTACCCAAGGCTGAGGCCATTACATGCTCGCTCTAGAGCAGGGGTGGCCATCTTTATACCTGTCATGTGTCAATTTGTTCACACACATACAAGTCTTTGTACCCCGTCTACTTCCTATTTTTCCTAGTTTCATTCATTAAGCATATTTTAATGTGAAAAAGATAACATTCACAAAAAAGGATGTTTACGAAATAATAAAATTGCTAAAGGATGCAATGCACCACTTCTAATCATCCAATGCGTCTTTTCATTAAGGGAAGAATTTTAATAAAATCTAGCAGTGTACAGGCCCTGAGTTCACAAAGCATTCTAAGAATTTACTCAACTTTCAATCACTGTTTATGAGAAATATCTTTGATCCAGAAACAAAACTTTGCATATTATTATTATTATTATTGTTCGATTTATATAGCGCTTCATTACACGTGAAGTGTTTCTAAGCGCATATCACAAACATATACTTCAAACACACAAAAACAATCAAAATCAGGAGAACATAATTAAACACAGCTGCCTGTTAGGCGCTATTATTCAAAGGTTTATATCCAACAAATCAACCGGCTAATCTCTATATTGAACTCAGTCGAGGTATTACCTGATGAACACCTACACCAAGTAGAGTTCAAAAATAAAAACGAAGTTTAAAAGAATCAACTTCATTAACAAAAATTAAACAATCAAAAACTAAACTGATAAATCAAATTCAAACGAAACAAATAAAACAAAGAAAATGAAAAGAGCAGTTCATTACCATTCTACATTAACAAAATAAAGGAAATCAACTTGTGAAAATTTGTTAAAAAAAATAAGAGCAAAGTAACACTAATGTTAATACTTTTTTAACGAACACATCATAAATATAATTAATTTTACCTATAATATCTATTTCAGAAATCAGACTTTATTTTGCAAATAAAATAATCCAAAGAGTTGTGTACGACCATTATATTTAAACAGTATATTATGCTGTTATATATATGATAAAGTGAAAGTGATGAGAGATTTTTTATTGGTGTATTTTATACATTAAAACAACAAAAGTTTTATAAAGGTCTATATTTTAGTTAAAATAAAGCGAACAATTTTGAGTAAATTCTTAACTTAAGTCTGAGAAGTTTTTTTGTGAACTCGGGACCAGAACATTAAAATTGATTGCTGTGAAAAATAAGGTAAATCCTAATGTAGAAAGCTTTAAATTGCATGAACAAGGTATCTAAATTGACTGGACACTGGCCCACATTTTAATTTATCGAACTTTTACTTTTGTTTCTGACAGAAATGATCAGAAGATATCCAGTGCTTATTCAGCTGCTGAGACTAAAAAAGCTACAATTAGATTGCTGAGAACTATTGTTGTGTTGACACAGACACTGAAATCCCTTCCAGATGACATCATGATGACTATGAAATTAATGTACTATGATGAAGGTATTATTTTCAGTTATAGTAACATATTTTCTCTCATTTGAATCACAGATAAACAAAACTATTATAAAGGGGTGATTTTTGACTATTGCTGTGAACAAAACATGTCAAACTATGTTGATTTCACCATAACATATGGTAAAGTGTACAAGATCAAGTCAAGAATTGCTAATTTGTAAGGTTACAAAAGAGTTTCATTTCTACAAGAGTAATTAAATGTACTGCTGGCACCTGTATTTCAGATCAGTGTAAGGGTAGTAGTATCGAGAGAGGTAATATGTTATTATCCCATGCTGAATAAAGTTAAGGAAGGGAGGGATATTGAATTGAACTCTTGCTCTTGTCAGCCCTTTCTTTCATGCGGCCTTTGTTTCCAGAGCATATCTCATAAACTATTCAAGATATCGTGATGAAACTTTTTACACACATCAATCTATTATAGTTTTTGTGCCCCGGGCTGAAGTATCTTGGATTTAATATTTTTGTTTTCCCATGGATACAGATTTAGTAAACAAGGGTGTGGGATGTTGATGACTGAACCTGGTTGTTTTTATCTTGTAGTTACACCACCAGATTATGAACCACCGGGATTTAAAGCAGCAGATTCAGATGGTTTTCTTTTTGATGATGAACCTATGAATATTAAAGTTGGAGATGTATCAACAGTATGTATATATCCTTATCAATATTTCCAAGGGGCTATAAGAGACATCAATATTTATGAAGTTGTGTGTGCCCTTTAGAGTTTTAGTCAGTTGGGTCTATCCACTGAACAATAAAACATTAGGATAATTATAGTTACAGTTTCAACTTCCAAACCCAACTGTAGCATCATTGTCTACGATAATTATAGTCACAGTTACAACTTCCAAACTTTCAAGTCTCATACTGAACCATTTATGTCATTATTTCCTGCCATCTAGAATAAAATTAAATTTACTATATTAGTACATGTAATAAATGAGGATAAAATTTAGGTTTCAATTTAGCGTATTTTCCATGAATGATAATGATTAATGTTTTTCGTCATTATTCCGAGATAATTTTTCAATGCAAATTTAAATTTCAATCATTAATTTTATAATAGCAATTCCACACGTAAGTACTCAGATATATTCAATAATTCAAAAATTATAATTTTCAGTTAAGGTTTGAAATAAATTGTTTCAATTTTTCAAAAGTTATTGTTGGTTTTATGTTGGTTTGCATTACTTTTTGCATGACAGATTTTCTAAGCAGTATGTTAATTCTCTGTTGACTTTTAAAGGTGAAGTTCAAAGGTTGCCATTTGATAATGTTTTATTCATTATCTTACATTAATAGTTTCTTAAATGCATAATCCGAAATACAAATCATTTTGAGTGAGAGATAATTGCTGTGCCTTATGTACCTTAATTCTTTGAACTTGATTGACCAGATTTATGGCGTTGATATTGTCATGCCCACAATATGAGCAGCCAGTTTTTCAACTAAAGCCTTCACTTGAAGAATGTTGGAGATAAACCAAGGGCTTTAATATGAGTGGCTGGTTCTCTAGATAACAAGAATCACAGGGACCCAGGGTATAGGTTCCAAAACGCTCGCGGAATTGGTAGTCTGAGGGTTAAGTATCATTCTCCAGGTTTTTCAGTTTCCTCCCACTGCTAAAGACCCCTACGCTCAAGCAAATTATTGAAATAAAATTGAACCACATGTTAGTCCCAAAATGACCTAGTTTGTGTCGAGTGGACGTTAAACCCTATTTTTCTCTCTTTATCTAGAGTAAAGATGAGAATAAAGACTGATGGTAAACAATTTGAAATGAAAGAAGAAGAGGATACGACATCAAATAAAGCAGAAATAAATGACACTGGATTGGAGGAAGTTGCTACGGAAGCAGATTCACAGGTTATAATAAGTTTTAAATCTTTTTGGAATGTTTTTCTCATTCTCTCTCAGTTAGCTTTTTATTAGGCTTAAACTGTAGTTTGCTATATGTTTCAACTGCTACATTATATATTATTCTCTTTATTGATATTTAATGTACAGTATTATAAGAACTTTGAGTAGCTTTGCAATCAGAATTTCTCTACACAGATCATAATAGTAGTATTTTAGACTTGTAATGATTTCTTTGTTTTAGATGGATTTTGTACAGTCCAATAAAAAGGAAGAAGAAAGCCGTTTTGAAGTAAAACAACATCAGATCCAAGATACCAAAGAAGCAGATGTTGACATACCTGAAGAAAGTCCAGCAAAACCAGGTTAGATATTACCTTAAAGGAGCTAAATCGCTAACATTTGGGTCCTAGAAATTGACAAAAGTAGGTCGCAACACATATAATACTGTAGTATGAATGTATATAAACTGATTTACATTCAATCGTTTCCGTTTTTACTCCAATTTCAAATCAGTTATGTTCGGCGAAATAAGCCAGCAGTCTCAAGCGAGTGCAAATTTATAGCGTCTGGTTATTCCAGTCTACATACGCCGTTTGATTTGGTGCAATGTGTCTAGCCTCGTCCCTTGAGTCTCTTGATACAACTGGGGCTGAAGCGCATTATGGTACACGATTCGTGTACCAATGGTAAAATGTTTATTTTGTCTTAAATATTGGATATCAAAAGCCCATCTTTTTCCGGTAAAGATCACAACATGAATGTTGATTTAATTTGACAAATAAATCGTGTTTTCAATGTTGAAGATTTTGGATGATATTGAGTTAGAGACTTAGCTACTTTAATATCAGGTCAATATTAGTTTCAAAGAATAGGATCACATGGTATATCAAGGAATAGGTTTACTGGAGTGCAACAGTACCTTATTATGTGGGAGTATATTGTCGTTGCCCCTGTCCACGTTTTTGATTTTTGTCTTAATAATGAGTAATTTCTCCACCAACCGTCCAATCACGATTTGGGGCAATCTGACCCACTCCTCTTGCAGTGCCACGGCCAATTCTTGCAGTGTTGTTGGTTGACGTTGACGTCGACGAACACGTCTCCCAATCAAATTAAATGTAACACACTAAAGCATAGATACGCTAAACAGTAAATCGTATGCAAGAACCGATGGGAAAGCAAACATGGATAGATAAACCAGCTCGCAGCAGTTTTCATCAACCCTTCCTTGAAGTGTCAAATTTGACAATGAACTTCTCCCACGTGTATGGCGCTATTGCATGTCGCATGTGCAGCTCAGTGGTTATGTTGGGGCGATAAGTTCTTCATCTGTGAACATACTCTCAAAGCATGTCAAGTGTCCATGACTATTTATCATATCACAACCTGCATAGGTATTTGCTTTACAATATCCCCTACTTTTTTTGAAGAGTATATATTGGACTGATAAAAATACTTTGATCTTTCAGAAGGTAAAAGACAAGAAAAGATAGAAGAAGCTGCTCTATCAGAAAGAAGTGAGGGTCAAGATGAATTTGGTGTTCGATGTCCATGTGGCTGCAATGAAGTAAGTCTTTATATCATTATCTGTTTCAAAACAGGCTGCACTGCTTAAAAAAACCTATGCGCAAGCAAATTATTGAAATAAAATTGAACCATGTGTTAGTCCCGGAATGACCTACTTTGAGTCGAGTGGATGTAAAACCCCATTTCTCTCTCTCTGTACAGAATGTTGAATCGGTACAAGAAAACATGACTGACATATATGTCCACCTTGGAATCCATGGTTGTGAATCAACCAACCAAAGAAATGTTTGATTTTTTCCATGAATGACTTGTTATTTTTAGGATGATGGTTTGATGATTTTATGTGCTGCTTGTAAATTCTGGCAGCATGGTGTCTGTTTTCAAATATTGGATGAAGATGTTGCACCAGCAGAACATATTTGTGATGTCTGTGCCCAGGTACTGTCTAATGTTTTCTAATATTTCAATGTATCGTTGTGAAATGGAATTCAAAAGCTTTACAAATATGAATCTGAAATATATGCAGAAAGAAGTTTAGTTGAATCATAAATAGTTTTCCTACAGGGCCCGGTCATTGGGTCATCACACACTTGGGTCATGGTTTATGTGAATATTATTTATTATAAATTTCAGCCTGGTGTTACTGGTAAAGAACCAACTGATCATAGTCTGGTGGGAATGACCCCAATAACAGTGCAGGTACAATATATCTTCAATTTATACAATGGTTTATTCGAATAAGATTCATATTTAAAGTGTCTCAGCATGATTTGAGTGGTATAGGAATCCCTTACAAACGACAGTATTTAAAAAAGTTGAAGCTCTAATAGGAATATAAGTCAAAAATGGTTCAATACCATTCAGTATTTATAAAGATATGCTGAACTGAAATTTCATCAATCTATGATACTCTCCATGTTAATGTTTCACGGAATCTAATTGACAACCTGATTAATCCGAATTGAATCCAAGGGAGGTTATCTAGTGTTGATATTTTGATTTTGTTTTCATAATTAGATGTTAAATTATCAATCTTAGTAAATTATAATGTGGATTAAGCAGTGAGAAATTGATATTTTCCCGAAAAATGCAAATCGCCAAAGTTACTATAAACCTAGCTCACAACCTTCCATATGTGATTTGACATGCAGAGTTCATGGGATTTGGTAGCTTGCAGACCAGCTGCAAGAAACCGGGTGAAAAGTCTGTATGGCCAGTCTGCGATCTTCTACGGTGTCGAACTCACGCAAGTCTCATGTACAGATTTACTACAATTTCCCCCGTAGACTGCCCATAGTAGTACGTACAGCGGGTTGTAAGCTAGGCTTTAAGTACATACATGCTAAATGAATAATATTTCAAATATAAGTTAAGTGTCTGATTTACATCCCAAAAAATTAGCTGATGGGGGGCTATTGCATAATTTTTGAATTGTAGCTGTTTCCTGTATGAAATTGTTCCTATACATGTCATAACACAGCACATTTGTATGGTTAACAATCACTATATTCCTGTATGGAATTGTTTCTATACATGTCATAACACAGTACAGTTGTATGGATGACAATCACTATACCGGTATTCCTGTATGTCAATAAAATAAAAGCTTTAATACTTGTATACTAACAGGCAACATGTCTATGGCGAAGAGCATTGTTGGCATCTTTGGAATTAAACAGGGTACTGGCTTCCCATTTAGCAAGACGACTGGGTGTAGAGGCTACAGTTGCACAAGGTTTAATCAACAGACTGGAAAAAGAGGGTTTTGTCAGAAATGCTGGAAAGGGAAAAAGGTATATATTGAAGAATAATTGGGTAAAATCAGTTCATTTTAAATAATTAACCCTTAAACTGCTGTGGTCCATGCTATTCATCTCTGACGGTTTGAAGCGTTCTAATGAACAGGTGGGGTCATGGTGGCTAAGTGGGTAAGATGCTGGCTGTCTAGCCTGGAGGTCGGGTGTTCGATCACTGCATTGGCCGAGAAAATTCATCCAGATTTTCCGGCATTTATCCCCCTTGTCAGTGATGCAGGACGGAGGGCCTGACAAGGACAGCTGTCTAGTAGTAGTTCGGATGGTACGGAAAACCGAGGTCCTGTGTACATATTGACATGCACATGAAAGATCCCTTAACAGTTGGAATTCGTTATAAGAGCTTTCCGTAGTGCCGCTGTCCGGGCAAAATTTCCCTCATAGCACACTGTATGGTGTATGCTCATCTTCATTAGCCCAGTTCGGAGCCATTACATTTCATTTCTAATGAACAGCTGTTTTGGCCTGTTCAGGGATGTACCAGTGTTAATATATCATCTTTCTGTAATTTTCTGCAAGGAACTGGGGTAGTCATTATTTACATGTAAAAAGTGCTAAATGGTTAATATTAAAACTATCTAACCAGAAAATTCTATTTGTTTTAAAGGTGGAGTCCGATCAGTCTGCTATATGTCGGTGGAAGCGAACGTTAAATAGAGCTATTTCACACACACTTAAATATTTAAGAAAATGGCTGAAGGGTTGAAATTTTCTAAACCTATCAAAATTCTTTTTCAGGTTAGGAAAATTGGTGGAAAAGTCAAAAATACGAAATGAAGGCTTACTGAAATATCTTAGTAGGAAACTCAACCCTTCAAAAATTGGTAGGGATATGGACACAAACGATACTCAGGTGACTGATTCACAGGTAAGTATTGACAACTATGGATGGATGTTGGGCAAGTATTTTATGCCCATGATCTGAAAATAATTGCCGGTGAGACTTGCAGGATGTTTTTGGTCATTTTTGTCAAGGACTCCTGTAGGATAATTAAAAGGTATAATAGTAAAAATGTAACACAGAAGTTTTGATGGGAGTTTTTTCTTATGACACAATGAACAATACTAACTGATTCTCCAATAGTTTAAGCCTAAAGTGAAACTAAAAGTAGATAAAATAAAAAACAATTTCAGCTCAATCTTTCAAAATGACTGTATGGAGCAAACACATCCAAAATTTTTACCTAAATCAGAGAGGTTAAACACATTAAGCCAAGATTGAAACAGTTGTCTGTATTGAACATCTAACTAGAAAAAGTGACATGACAAATAAATTCTTTCTTATTGCAGAGGAGCCAGAAACAACCTGTTCATAATTCAAGAAATACTCAACAAGATGTAAATAATTTCTCATCGATTTTTAAACCTATACATGCCATCTTGAGTTGGAATTCTTCCTCTTTCGTTCCAAATATATCAGCATGTTGGAATGGTCTATTATTTTTCCCCTAAAAAAATAGGTTCTGCTCTGTGCTTGCATTGAGTTTAATTCTAGGATGAGGATCAACCCGTAACCACATGACCCCCCCCCCTCCCACACACACACACACAACTCAAAAGAATGATATGCATGTCTTTTAATGAAATAAATAAAATAGGTTAATTCTGAAATGACCCAATTGTGTTGTAGACGTCAAATCCACTTCTCTCTCTCTTTTGCTGTCAAGTGCAAATATGTCTTAGAACTTCCCTGTTTGTGAAGATAATCAGTTGTCTCTTATCAACATGATCTCTTTCATAGAGTTGACTCCATCATTGGCATTTTTACAGTTTCACAAAAGTTCATTTTCCAATCCATTCTCAGGGAATATGAGATAAATTGTTATTGAAGTTTTGTGAATACGTTATCAATTTATTTCAGGTTGATAGTTTAGTAGCCCAGACAGAGAGTATTAATATCAGTGGTAAAAAAAATAAAAGTAGTGAAAGAAATAAGAAGACTAGTACGGTAATTAAAGTTCAATAATTATGTTCTTTTTCAAATGGGGGTGTTGGATGGCTGAATGGTTAGCGTGCGCGCTGTATCATAAAGTCTGTCATTGAGTCGACTGGCGTGGTTTCGAATCCCCTGTTGTACGTGACAAGGAGGAGGGTTGCCTGTCCAACCTCGTGGGTTTTCTCCAGGTCCTCCGATTTCCTCCCACTGCTAAAGACCCCTTTGCGCATGCGGATTATTGAAATAAAATTAAACCATATGTTAGTCCCGAAATGACCTAGTTTGTGTCGAGTGGACGTTAAACCCCATTTCTCTCTCTTTCAAATGAAATTGTTAAAGGCCCAATACCACTCTTGTTGTTACTGAATAATATGTCCCAATCTTTATTCTGGTCAACAAATTGTACTATTTTACAATATTTCAATTAATTGATGATACAAATTTTATCTTAACACACCTTATTTAAAAAATTGGAAAAATTCAACTTAATGGTTTGAAACGTCTAACGTAAACCATTTCAAATGAAACTTCGATATAAAAATATTTTCGAACCCTCTGGACAAATAAAATAGGATGTAATGGATAATTTACACAACAGGTAGGACACTTAAACATCTAGTACTTAGATAAGGATATTATTTATTTTCTGGAGCTTTCAAGCCAGCAAGAGTGTTATTGTCCCTTTAAGAATTCGTTGTTAGTAGTTACACTTTTTCATATTCATATTCATTAAAACAGTGTGAAGAGAATAAAGTGTTGGTCAGGGATCATGAAACAGTTTTGTTTGCACAAGATAAAAATCACTATGAAATTCACCTTATTCACCCCATGAACAGAACAATACAAATGCCTAGGAAACGTTTGTCTGCGATATCATCCTTGGTGAAAGTGGACTTTAACCCTTTTATGCAGGGTTCCCACTATCACGATACGTGCCACGATTGAAATTGTTGTTTTAATCGTGGTGAGTCTTTCAGGTTTTATCATATATTGAGGTCAGTCGTAGCAGTTGTGTTGATCGTATCCGAATGTATTTGCATGTACCAGATTGTGGACTGGTTAGAGACAATCCTATCGTAACGCATTACACGACAGTGGGAACCTAGTATTGGTACTAGTAGAATAGTAGAAGATATCTCATGCGTATTATCCCTTGAGCTCTATCAATAAGTGACCACATTCTACATGCCCTATGTTCGGCTGAAGAAAGCACAACTGTACATGCCATGCTAAGTTGGTTGAAACATGTTTGAATGATGAGGTTTTTCATCCTAGATGTATTTTTCTAGATTCAATTCTCTGCAAAGATTTGCTGATAATAGATAATGAGACATGTTGAATGTGGAGGTAGGGTAGGTAAGGCTTATCCAGTATTGAGAGATATTTGTGTATTTGTAGAATATGGAAGGTATTGAATCAAGTCAGAATAACAGTAGTGGAATAGGAAAGAAAAGGGTACATTCTAAAGTTAATGAGGTAAATACTGAATCGTGGCTGTAACAGGACAAAATACAATCACATATCAAAAAAAGTCTTAAGGACAGCATGATTTGAATTATGATTTAGACATGTATTTGCATGACAACCCATAGTCAACTCTCTAGACTATAAGATGGCTTTGATATTTAAAAGATATAAACTCTGTCACTTAATAATAAAATGAATAATCGAAACTTGTTTATTATTGCAACAATAGTACTGGACAATCAAGAACTGAAATGAAATGAAATGGGGTTTAACGTCCTACTGTTCAGCTCCTAAATGGGGCTAATGAAGACGGGCATACGCCATACAGTGTGCTATGAGGGAAATTTTGCCCGGGCAGCGGCACTACGGCCTACTCTTTTACGTGCACGCCAATGTGTACACGGGACCTCGGTTTTTCGTGCCATTCGAACGACTAGACAGCTGTTCTTGTCAGGCCCTCCGCCCTGCATCACTTGACAATCAAGACTATATTGTCAAAACTTCTAACACTCATAACTTTGCTCTGAATAACGTAACTTATCTAATTCTTACATAATTCATCTTTAAGCACTCATGAAATATTTTTGATTGCATTATCACCTTGGTGGAAACGGACCACAAATCTTTAAAATATAAGTGGTTTTACACTGGAATAAATGATATGCTTTTAATTTCAGGCCCAAGATTTTGAAATCTGTACAAGTCAAGATCAAGATAATTTTGAACCAACACATCGTCGTAGAAGAAAATCTAGCATTGTTACAAAAGCTATCATGGTTTAATTTAGAACCAATAAATTATTAATTGTTCAGACAAATGTTATATTATTTTAATTGGGTATACAAATTTACATGTTATTTCTTGTACATTAATTCAATATTTATTAGAGACTTTTGGCAAGCGTAAATTCCTGGTCTGTATCCGTATCGATTTTGCGTGTGATGTCGTATCGAACAGCTTTCATACAGTAAAGGTCACTTCATTGTCCTTCTACAGTCTTTTTTGCTACTTTTAGATGCTGAAATGTTGTACCATAGAGTTTTTATGAATCTATTTGTATCATAGAACACAAAGGTGTATATTTGATGTGATTTAACCATGATAAAGGCTGGACTTTATTCATTATTTTTGAGGAGTTTTTCTCGAAATTATCTGCATGCTGGTTGATCTACATGCTAAATTTAGGGAGGTAAAAGGGTATAAACTTTCTAAAATGATACATTAGTGAAACCAAAAATTGCTGTCGAGTCGAGGTCAAAGATTCTTAATAAGATTCAACATTAATTTTTTTTTTAATAGCTCAGCGACTGTCGAGTGACTTTACTCCCTCCAGGAATTTGTAGGCTAGGCACTTGACTAGTACTGATGGTAATCTTGGTAGATAACTGCTATCTGTAATAGAACTAAGCTCAGCTCAGCTACTCATACGTACGCGGAATGAAAATCTACCTAAACTCTATAACTACATTGACGCAACATACCACGTATCTGTATCTTATACGTGATACGAATGGGAAAAATTCTGGTTGCCAAAAGTCTCTATTATGTCCATTTGGAAGTGTGTTTAAAGATTCATCTATTTAATTCATGAACATATAAATATGATGCAATTATGTTCCCTGTACTTGTTGTTTATTCACTGTTATGTTATAGAATATATTAATACATCATCCTGCTAATTTATCACAACAAACATATAAATATGATGCAATTATGTTCACTGTACTTGTTATTTATTACCTGTTATGTTATAGAATATATATATACATCAATCTGCTAATTTATCACAAAATTATAAGGATATTTTCTTCATTGATCAAGATATAAATCCCTACTACGTATTTTGGATCAAATTCAATGGATATCTTGTTTACCCTTTAGCACTGGGAGCACCCTAAACCACTCTAATTAGGGTTCCTTAGACCACCCTATCACGTGCACAGCTGTGGCGCCTATAATCAGTACTAACTCTGGGTCCATTTTTTTTCCGCCAATTTTTCATTTGAATTTATTAGCAATATATTTCTTCCGCAAAAAAAAATTAAAAATTTTCAGTAATTTTTATTACGTTTTTATTTACATAAATACATACAAAATATATATATTACAATTTACAAAATAATTCTTCTCTACTTTGCATAGGTCCATTTTTTGAAAGCTTTTTCAAAATCTGGGGTAACCACTTTTCCAATACTAAATACCATTTAATTACACAGTGTATTTGTTTTTAATGCATTTCTGTATTTGTTTTTTTATAATATTTTGCCTGCTAAATCTTTTGGAGCTCTGCAGTTGCCACAGGAATTGTGAGTAAGCGCTTACTGATATCACAAACACTTGGGAATATATCATCTTTAGTTAAGGTGAATTTACAAATGATTGTAATAACTCGTAAATAATCCTTTAATATGGAAAGCTATTCACATATATCTTAGGTGGTTTGAGAAAGTTTAAGGAACAGCAGTTTTGATGTGTTCAAGGATATACCAATATTATAATATATCACTTTTCTCTTAATTTTCTGCAAGGAACTGGTGTAGTCAATATTTACATGTAACAAGTGCTAAAGTGTTAACAAAAAAATGACCCAGTTATTGGGTAGTATCTATTACAGGAATATGACTTTCATTCATTTTCCATCCATTATTTCATGAAAACATATCAAATGTTTTTAACATTCATTACATTAATAAAAACAATTTTAGAGTTTATACTTATTTATAGCTTTTTTTTTTTATGTCAAGCTGATTAAACCAGAGAATACATTCAAATGAATCAAGAATTTCACTAACACTATTTATGGAATAAAAATTACTGGTTTATTAACATGCAACGTTTCGACGATGATACTCTTGTCTTTATCAAGCAAATCAGCATGCATGTTAATAAACGGTGCATGTTAATAAACCAGTAATTGTTATTCCATAAATAGTGTTAGTGTGTTACTGTTCAATTACTAAATGCCACTTAAAGAAGAATCAAGTATTTGTTAATACTTAATGACAATTGCTGAAATGCAGCTTTTATCAGTAAATTATTGTTATGATGCAAATTCCTTCTGATTGACCCAGAGAATACATTTATAAATGAATCAATTATTCGTTAATAGTATTACTTAATACCCGTTGTTGAAATGCAGCTTTCTATCTGTCATTTACTGTTATGATACAAATGCCATCTGAAAACGATCCATCAAATTATATATTTGGTTTAACTCCCATATTCTCAAAATAGAAATGGTTCATGTATAACCACACTGTCAACAAAAAGTTAGTAAATAATACAGAGTGGATAAGCTAAAGCACAAATGCATTTTTTCTAGGACATGTATCATAGTTCAACCACATGTTGAAACATGGATACATGCACATGAATAACTCCTGTTTACTTCATGCAGTGTCAAAAGATAGATAATGACAAACATACATTTTGACTAGATATATTGCTGGGTCGAAGAATTTCCGGGGTGGGATTCAGAAATAGCAGTCAGTTGCTCCTAATAATTTGAACACAGTTTGTAGGATTGTAACACCAGAAACTGGTAAATTGATGCATTCATATTTTCTATTTCTACTAACTCTAATTTATAGCTCTAGATATACTATCCCCCTCCCTATTATTGACTACTAGAAATGATTCCTGTCTGGGTAATACAAATTAATATTGCAGGCTATTCATGACAAGTCTAAAAAAAGAAAGCTAAACAAGAATACACTGTGATAAAAACTTTATTTGAAATAAATGATAGTCTGGAAATGATGTTTTGAAATGATTAAAAATGTCTTTGAGTTGTGTGTCAGTTTATTGTCAGAAGCCACACACAAATGTCAGTCTTGATTCTTCGACTCCACACTTTTAAATAAAAGAATGTGTTATTTGCTACACCTAGTTGTATAGGAAATTAAAACGACTCAGTGTCTGGGGTAAACTTGAAATTATGGGTCCATATCCAGCTGAATTATCATAAAGTTCAAACAACGGTGCCGCAACAAGTTTATAATTTCTCGGCACAGCAAAAAGAGCCTTTTCTGGTAATTGTACCAAGAAAAGACGCTTATGTTCTTTAGGTTTAGTGATGTGTGCTGGTGTGTACGGGTACTGTGGGGGTTCAAAATTTGGTCTCCACCAATTTCCAATTGTGTCTTCGATTACCCATTCCATTGGTCCGCCATCTTGTCTCCCTAAGGTCTCTGTCAACAGTCGTTTCAGGCCCTCAACTTCGTCTTCTCCTGGGTTTAATTCGCCACCAGGTAATTTGAAAAATGTTGTACCAAGTTGCAAAAGTAATACATGAGGTAGAGAATGCTCATGCACAATTAAAACTCCCTCAACCGATCGCCTCATTCCAATTTTTTCGAAATCATCTCGCATCCTTTGAAATCTAGCCGGTACAGAGCTGTCCTTCTCATACAAGGGTTCTTTTGTTCCAAACGTGTAATTAGTCAAAGGGTATAAGTTAATGGTTCTTTCTATCGTAAGAGGTGGTGCTGAACCCATTTTCCCACCGTAAGAGGCCCCGGCGGAACCTTTAGGCCACCCAGCAATACTCCTATTCGACGCCATTGTCCTGTGGTTTAGACCGAATTCAATTTTAACAAAAGAGAGTTCGTGTTAGAGTTACTTCCCTTTAACTACTTGATCAGTTATTAAATTTTGGTTGTATGTTGCCAATTCATCCCAATAAAATAATCCACAATTGAATAAGCAACGTAAAACTCAGGTTAGATCTCCTACTTATATCGTCGCGGTACATGGTAACAATTGACTATCTCAATTATACTGGCGAAAATTAAAACAATAAGAGATCGAAGTCATCACTTTATAACGCCATTGGGATGAAGGATGATGGTTTGTGAAATTAAATGACACGGGTTATAGTGCAACTTTTTTTGCATCGACTGGTCTATATTCTATAGTAAAGTAAGTGCTCTTATGCCTGGGACACGCTTTGCGAATTTTATTCGCCTATACCTCGACCGAGGTATTTCGCCGCCGAAGTTAATCGGGCAGCGTAGTGGGCAGCGTAGTGGGCACCCCCGGCGAATGCTAAGCAGCTATAGTGTTCTATTTCGGCCACTTCCCGCGTCGCGTGTCGACCTTGAATAATATGGTTCGCCGTTTGTAAAATAATTATTTAATTTTTTTTATAGCAAAAAACATTTAGCTAAATATATAAACATTTAGCTAAATATATAAACATTCAGCTTAATATATAAACATTTAGCTAAATATATAAACATTTAGCTAAATATATATATTTAGTTAAATATATAAACATTTAACTAAATATATAAACATTTAACATTTAACTAAATATATAAACATTTAACTAAATATATATATTTAGTTAAATATATAAACAGTTAACTAATAAAATATATAAATATCATGCTAAATATATATGTTTAGCTAAATGTATAAATATTTAACTAAATATATATTTGTGGTCCCGCCAATATTTCTATTATCGTAAGCGACACAAACAACTGCGCATAAAATGATGACGTGTACCCGACACGTGAGCCTTGACACAATAGGCCTACTAGCAATTAAATGAAATGAAATGAAATGGGGTTTAACGTCCTACTCTTCTGCACCTAACCTGGGCTAATTGAAGACGGGCATACGCCATACAGTGTGCTATGAGGGAAATTTTGCCCGGGCAGCGGCGCTACGGCCTACTCTTATATCGAATTCCAACTGCCAAGGGATCTTTTACGTGCACGCCAATGTGTACACGGGACCTCGGTTTTTCGTCCCATCCGAACGACTAGGCAGCTGTCCTTGTCAGGCCCTCCGCTACTAGCAATTAGAAATGGAAGCTGACCACGAACTTGTAACCAGAATCACGACCGCGGTACTCCGTGCCGTTCGCACAGATCAAGGCAAGGTACGTGCAGTCAATGGAAAGTTGTACACTACGTCATCGTTTAGTGTGAAGTCGCTTACAACAATAATTATTTTACAAACGGCGTAAAATATATAAATATATAAATGTTTAATATATAAATGTTTAACTAAATATATAAATGTTTAACTAAATATATAAATGTTTAACATTTAACTAAATATATATTTAGCTTAATGTTTAAACATTTAACTAAATATTTAGCTAAATATTTATATATCATCAAATCTCTTGTTTCGGTCTTAATATTCAATGCTAAATGTTAAATATGAAAATAGAGACAAATCAAGAAATATTTATATATATTATGTTAAATATTGAGTTTTTGTTGTATTTTTAGTTTAAATATTAAAAGTGAAAAATTTGCACAAAATGGCGCCCCATACAATAAAGCGTTTTTCAATGTTAAGCTGTAGAGAAAAAAAAGCGGCGTCGCTTTTTCTAAATGGATATTGTTTATAGTTTTGGTGATGAAATATACCAGGAGAATTAATTCATTTGCAGTATATTTGCCGTTTGGTATTTTATCTTCAATACAGTAATTTATATTGGACACAAGGAACTGTTATCCTTTATATAACAATACATTTCTATAATATCCAGATTATATGTTATATTTTAAATCTCTATTCTAAACTTAAAATCGTAAACTGAATAAGTGACCTCGTGCTCTCTGCAGATACCGCCATACACTATTATAGTTAAGCACACGATGATAGGGTACTGGGTATGGTTCCGTTATTTACATCAGTTGTTTTATAGGTTCTCAAGTGTTGTATTACTTATAGTATGAACATTCTTTGACAGAATTAATACGAGAATTTTTATTTTTGTGGATATCCTCTTACGAATATATTAGCAACCTTGAAGAAATCAGATTAAGATCGATGTTGAAGAATCCAAGATTACGTTCACATCTGCAGTAATGTCTTTAATTGTTGGTATATTATTAATAAAAAAAAAAGAAAGAAAAGAAAAATACAATGTTACTTGGTCGTAAAGTAGAAGAAAACCGATGAATTTTCCAAATGTGGGAACCTAGTGGCGTGGGTAGGATTAGAACCAATTTCTGTCAATCCACTTTTTTGGGAAAAATTAGTGATTTAAAACTTATAAGCCACTAAGCCACCTGTCCGTGCATTTTGCGTCGTGGGTCCCCGGCCCGTGATCGTTCCGTTTGAGGCTCTCGTCACCTTCAGGGTAGGCTATCCGGGCCCCAGCGGGTAATCGGGTCCTAGTCCGAACCTGTAGAACGCGACAAAGATCGTGAGCGCGGTTACCGATCGCACTAGGTGGGCTAACTGGTACCCGATCACTTAAAACAAAAATGAAAGTGTAACGTTTACTTTCGTTTTCATTTTGATAGGCGCTAAACATTACCATGCTTTTCAATATTTTTGCCAATTCTACATCTTTCTCCGATCAATGACAACGTGGTTTTTGTTTTTCTATGTTTTTTGCTTGCATAAAATTTCCTGTCAAAATCGTGTGCATCAGGTTATTATTACATCAGTAAAACTAAAACTAGTAGGCCTACATTATTTGGTAGGCCTATGTCATAATATGTTGTGTGAAATCTCAAGTTTCTGCCTTTTAGCAAAGTGACCCCCAGTTACCCCAGACATACATCAAAATGACGCCAGAGAGCATGTATCTTTCAAAAATGCTAGCCGCCGTTTCCACCTGCTCTTCATCGTGTTTCAAATGTGATGGGTTCTTTTAATTGCACACCAACATGCACCCGAACAACAACTGAAACCCACGCAGAAAAAGCACGATTAACTGTCTCGGGAAACACTGTGGGATCGAACCCGGTGCATCCTGTTTTTTTTAAAACAGTATTTTTATTCAGGTTGTCTGAATGGGATTGAGGAACAGACTTAGCCTATGTAAAACCCCTCTCCCTAAATAATTTGTATATATATATTATTAATGCAAAATGGGTGTGTAGTTATAATGGCAAACACATACATATTACATGTATATACATATAATAAAATAAAATGGCTGAAAATGTACAGTATGTAGTTTATAATTATACATATACAACCATTGTAAGATTTTTTTAAATAATAGGCAACATTAGAGCGACTAGCCAAAATTATACATAAAATAAACAATAGAATATTATTTGATCGAGATTAAAATCTGTTTGACATATCTATAAACTTATGGACCCGATTAAAATTTTTAGTGTTAACATCAAGACTGCAGGTTGTGAAGCCGAATAAAAGACAGTTTATATTTTTAAAATCATGTTGTAATTTGTCTATGGTTTCTGTTCGTGCATTTGAATGTAAGGAACATCGCAGAAGGTAATGGTCGGGATCTTCAAATGTATGACCGCAGAGGCATGCGGGACTGTCGGCAACATGTCTTAGGAATTTGTGACCCTGCAGGTCAGAGCATCGAAGTCGTAATTTACAATGAATTATTTGAGGTTTCCGCTGACCATTATAATAAAACGAAGGAACTTTGATATCAAATTTGGATAGATGATCGGAGAAAATTTTTAGAGTTCTAGAATTCCTTGCAGGGGTAGGCCTACTGAGTTTATTCCACTCTCTTATACTGGATGGGATAAATGATTTAGCAAAAATGTCAGTACGGCCTCGAATTTCTTGTAATCTGTCTTCATTACGGAGGGAATATTTGTTTGTAGGTTCAATGTTTATGAGATTCTTAAGATAAGGAGGGGTTAGGTTATTGATGATTTTCTAAAGTAGTTTTAATTTATGTCTATTTCGTCTTTCTTTGAGTGGAATAAACCCAGTTTTTGCGTAGAGGGAAGCATAGCTAGTACCCTTAACTACCCCGCAAATAGTGCGTAGTGCGTCAAGCTGAAGGTATTCGGGATTATTACATAAGTGGTCAGTGCACCCGTCCCAGATAACATCGGCATAATCAAAGTGCGGCAGAATGAAGGAAGAATATAGAGTATGTAGCGATTTTCTTTTTAAAAGATATTTCAAGGAGCGAAGACTGTTTACTAATTTTGATACTTTGCTGATTATAGCGCCTTTCTCTCTCAAACACCCGGGTGGTTCGTGCCAAACGCCTAGACATACCTTGCCAAACCCTACTAAAATACCTGCAATTGTTTTATGGACTAGGATAAAAACAAGCATGTGTTTTGCTTGAGTGGGTGGATGATGTGAATTTTAACAGTCTTCATTTTTTTTGCTTGGGTGGGTAGATGGGTGTAATGTTTATTTATATAAAGCATAAAAATATACAGCGTGAAACATGAAAATTATGACTCTACACGATCGTTGATATATTTAGAATTTGGGATATCGTTTGAAGGGGTTGTTCAATATCTGTAAAATTCATCGTACCATTTGCAGAACTACTACCAACGGCAAAACTGGTGGTATTTGTTAAGAATTCAGGCGGGATAACTCCCAGGTTGAAATAAGCTTTTCCCCAGGTATTAACACCTAAATTCAACACAATAACACAAAGAAAATTTAAAACAGAACCGGACAACACCTGAAACAAGATAAGAATAATGTATCAACTCCTTAAATGATATCTAGGAGTGTGGGTAAATATTCACAACAAAATCACACATAAGGCACCAATTTTACTTGATATCAGTCATAACAAACGCTGAGATTTTATTAGGTTGTTACTCCCGTTAAGCGGTCGGTCATGAAAAATGCCCCTGAGTGGATGCTGAATACAAATTCTATTGTATTCAGAAGAGATTTGATTGGACGATAGAAATTGACACACTCCGTCAAAAACCCAAGTTTTCACTGTCAGTACAACAATGACTAGAGAAGGATTTCTCGGGCCATTGCTTCAGGAAAATGTTTGTCCATGTAGGCTATATGAATTAACTTAAACGGGACCTGTATAATATGTTACGAAACGTTGTTATTAAATAACAGAAAAGTAGTAAATATCCATATATACCTTGCAGGGCCGTAACTAGCTCAGAGCAACGAGGGGGCCGGAAGTGTTCTCGGGGGTGCTGTAATATTGACGGACAATGTATATCTATTTTTTTTATGGTCGAAATTTTTTTCACAGGGGGGGGGGGGGCGAAACCTTTTGCAGGTGGGGCTTCGCCCCCCCCCCCTGCGCCCCCCCCGCCTAGTTACGGGCCTGATACCTTGTGCTGTGTTGTGGTCGTAAAATTATTGAAGTGGGTCAGTTCTAGCTTCAGCTATGACCATTTGATGTTTATATTGGGTTCTAATGATTTGTGAGTCTTAAATATGGTTAGTTGATCTATAACAGCTAAAAATAAATATGTAGTAACGCTGCTTTTAGCATCGACTTACCATATCTTTTACTTGTAGATGCCCAGTGGCAAAGACTATAGCATTAGGGGGCGTGGCAACAGGTAACATAAAGGCAAATGATGTTGCAATACAACATGACCACATTAAGTATAATGGATTGATTGACAGTCCAACAGCCTGGAAATATATTTTTAAAATTTTTTTAAATAGAAATATCTTTTCCAAATTATGTAATAATTAATTTTACTATAAGTTCTGTTACTTTCGTCTACTGAAATAGACTACATGTACTTTATTATCGCAACTTTCTGAATGGTCTTTGATTTTCTGAATATTGTTAGACCCATATGCTATTTGATAACATCTCAGGGCAATACATGCTTATTTGATTACAGGGTTATAATCAGTTCATATTGGCGCTTCGAGGTTTTATGAATGGTAGTCGACTCTACCCTATAGGCCCCCTCAGGTATCATTTTCTCAAATGGAACGACCGCATAGTATTGCAGTATTTTACTAACGGTTAGGGCAGATATTGGGAAGATTCATATCAACAAACAAAAGACAGAAAAGTAGAGGACATTTGGTCGGGAAGAAGGCTTCTGCGTCATTACGGCGATGGGCCTGGAAGCAAATGAAGCACCCGGGTTAATGAAAGCGGGAAGACTTTGTGTTCTTACCAATTGTGCCATAATAGGTATAAGTATGGCTGACGTTGCCGTATTACTGGTGACCTCGGTACAAATCGATACAAGAATAGTCAAGAAGAAGTTCATCAACCAGGGTTCAAATATAACAAATACATGTAGATACTGGCTTATAGACGTCGACAATCCCGAGTCCTAGAATAAAACAAGATAAAATAATAATACAATTTAGTAGATAGGATACCTCATGATACTAAGAGCTGATACTATAGAGTTCTTTCTGTAAAATGAACATCGGCATTCACTAATCAAAACCGCCAATTTTTCCCTTCAAAACAACGATTGATTATTGTTTTTTATTACATTTGTGCCACACCCAACTTTAATTAAACAGGGTACGAAATAACACGCGAACGGTCGTTCAGGTTACGCATCGGTTACCATGACCTGGAAACACGCGAACGGACTTCCGTTCTCGACCACCGAGCTATAATTTATAAACTAAAGGTTTCAGTTAAAATATTCCCCCCACTACTACATTAAAACTTTTTACAATTATAAATAAATGCCTGAAAGATCGTTAAGTTCGCACCTGTCATTTTGTCGGTAGCAAATCAACTCGCGGACCCATCATACCTGGCGACGACATACTCATTTGCCTCTTTAGCGAACGAAAGCGCCAGATCAATCAACTGATTTCTATTGTTTTTATTTCTTAAATTAATGGTGATTGAGTAATAAAAATAAAACACCCAATGAAAAGGAATGTTATATTCGCAAATTATCAAATAAAAAACATACTTTTCAACAATGGATCTTCCGGTATTTACGTAATAGTTCAGAGGTGAAAATTCACACCGTGTCAATGACTTTGGCATTATTCCAATATTTTCACGTTGTCACTCACGGCTAATAATTTTATGACATGGAAAGTGAAATGGAATCAGATTTTTTATGATTTACTGCCAGGCATATCGTAGAACATGATAATGTCGAAGAAATCAACTATTTGTTATTTTTGGGGGACGTTATGAATGATGCGAAGCAGCCGAGATCAAGCGTGTCGGCCGCCATATCTTGGATACGTTTCCAGACAGACGATACCACAAAACTTACGGATAATAATTCTAGAGTTTGGAAAGCTAAATTGAATCAAAACTTTTAGGATTTAATACAAGCTACATAGAGGAATATTACATTGCCGAAGATTTCAACTATATATTTTCATTTTCGATGCTATGAAGCAAAGAAGACGACAATTCCCACCATATATCCAACAAAGGCAGAAATGTCACATAGCGATGAAGTGACGGTCATTTGGGGCGATATTTCTTTCTAAAAGTTATATATTTATATTTACTTTGAACACTGTTCTTTTTTTTAAAATAAAATCTTAGGAGATACATGTTCACGTTTATTATGACAGAGAAAAGTCATAATTTTAGTGGAACTGACTTTTCAATATTATTTATAGTAATATACCGGTAATTGTTAGTTTGTACAATTGAATTTTATATCATTGGAAAGAACACGACTATCTGTACATTTTTGTATAAAAAATTTTTTTATTTAGTTATTTGCAATTTTGTAGAGAGTTTTAGGATTAACAATAATCCACTAATTCGCTTAGGGATATGGGCCCTGCTGATTTAATAAGCTTAGGGGTAGCTGGCTAATCTTTTAATTGGCCCCAAATCCCCCTAGGCTAATTCGAGGGTCGGCTCTAAACAAATATGGCATCGTAACCTATAGGTTACCAGTTCAAATTTGATGCAGATTAGCCCAACCTATTTTGAGGTTACCATATAAGAGGCTTATTTCATACCCTGTTAAAGATGCATTATGTAAGAGCTAAACGGCCCATTGCAGGTCTTTTTGTCTGACTTAAAATCTTAAAAAACATTATTATTTAGACATTTATTTACATGACAAACATATAATCAACTCTCTAGAATATCGGATGGCCGAGATTGAAATGGATTTGAACATCCACGACACTTAATGATCAAATGGATAATCGAGACCATTGTTACGCTAACAAACGATCTACGCTACTTCTTCAAACAGTCATAACGTTGCCCAGAAAAAAATAATTTAAATGAAATTACGAAAGTTCACTGAGGAGATATATGTACTTTTGTAATGACTGTGAAGAGGATAATAGATACGTTGAAAAAGTCTCCTAACCTTATAAAAACAAGAATAAATCGTACATATTGCATCTTTAAGCATATACCCCTACCTGCCACGACTACAAGTCATCTCTTTTAAATCGAAGCGTTAAAAGCTGTTGCGATGCCCGACATTCTAAAATGGAAGAGGTCTCCCCTTAACGTTATAAATGAAATGAAATGAAATGGGGTTTAACGTCCTACTGTTCTGCTCCTAACCTGGGCAAATGAAGACGGGCATACGCCAAACAGTGTGCTATGAGGGAAATTTGGCCCGGGCAGCGGCGCTACGGCCTACTTTTATATCGAATTCCAACTGCCAAGGGATCTTTTACGTGCACGCCAATGTGTACACGGGACCTCGGTTTTTCATCCCATCCGAACGACTAGACAACTGTCCTTGTCAGGCCGTCCATCCTGCATCACTGACAAGGGGAAACCACGCCGGAAAATCTGAATGAACTTTCTCGGACAATGCAGGGATCGAACACCCGACCTCCAGGATAGTTTTATGGCGTATAGAACAGGGGAAATCACAGTGGCATTCATAACGAATAAAACAATTTCACTACCTGACAAACACCTGCCAGGGCATAGCCACCACCTAATAGAAGTAGAACACCCCACGGATAATTCTTCTCAACTGTTTTCCAATCTAATAAAGCCGGTACCGTTTCACCACGATCTGCTGCAATATCAAAATTAAACACCATATAATTGGACACCAAAAACCCATCCTGAAATGGTGTCCGTGAGATTGTTCTCGTATACTAGTTTTATCGGTTAGTTTAAAAGCAGTGTGTGTCGAATTACTGATCGTAGACGGAGTTCGTTCCAGGAAATCGCCAGCGAATATTTTAGTCAAAATTCGGGGAATCTTGTGGGATTTGTTTTTAGGAGAATATCGATACACAGCGTTGCACCAAAATCATAAACAACCCCAAAACACGGAACTGGCAGAAAATCCAAACGCATTATTATTTCAGAGTATGTAATCAAAACCTAAAATGTCATTATAGTTTGAAGACGACCTTTTCATCCTATACACCAACAAATGGCTAATTGGTTCAGTCTGATTAAACATACATTATGCGAGAGCTAAATCTGTCTATTGCAGGTCTTTCTTTAGGCCTGAAATGTTATCTAAATTATTAATTAGACATTAATTAACCTATCCAGGCCATAATCAACACTAGATGGCAGCGCTAGCCTGCGATCTTTAGTGGATTGTAAGCCGATTTACTGCATAACTTTCCTTCTCAATTAAACGATTAAATGGATAATCGAGACTATGCTGTTTATCGTACTGACTTTAGTAATGATGACCAAGGCTTATGGTAAATTCAGTCGCTTAGTTCTCGGTTCATCGTGGATCAATTTGAATGAAATTTTCAGCAACTTGCCTTTACATTATCTAGTTTTTAACTATTATAGTGAGAACTGCCAACTCGTTACCGAATCTCCCATAATGTATCTTTAAAATACAGATCTACATTTCGTTTCTTTTTTTTTATATATATATTTTCGATGGTCTCCACAACATGGAGATCTGACCGGTTGTTCTAGTGGAAGGTCATGCGAGCGGCTTTTGACACCATGACGGCAGGCATTTAATTAACCAATCAGAGTTGATGTTTCTAGTAGGCACGTCAAGAACACGCTGCAACATATCTTTTCATTGGTTAATCCCTCACATAAACCAGAACCAGATCCCAGTGTAGTAAAGACAACTAAAACGAAATTTTGAACTTTAAAAAAACGAAACGAAATAGGAACTGTGTTTTTATCAGATGGCTAATTGGTTGGAATTATAATTGTGATATAGCCAGTACTTACTTGACTTCCGTTTGAAGAAAAGTGTTTTGGGTCTTTCTGATGGGAAAACAAACAATGACAAACACAGAAGAACAGCAACCGCAGAATCACCAACATATCTTGAAAAAAATTAAAGTTCGTGTTTAAACATGCATTATGCAAGAGCTAAATCTGCCCATTGCAGGTCTTTTTTCAGGCCTTAAATGTTATATAAATTATTAATTCGATATTAATTAACATACCATGGCCGTAATCAACTCTCAATGCCATCGGATTGGTCCGATATTAAGTAGATTTAAATGAGTTTTGCGGTTGATGATTTAACGTAAAAATGGATAATCGAGACTTTCTTTATTGTCGTAACAACGGTAGCAATGATCATCAGGGCTACACTGTAATTGTATCGACAATAACTCTACTCCGAGTTAAGTAAGATGACTGAAATTTTCAACATATTCCCTTTTCATTATCTATATTTTAACTATTATAGCGAGAACTGACAGCTTTTTATCTAATCTCCCTGAGCTAATATTCAAATGACACTGATACTTCCTTCTTCTGAATAAACCCTGTCGTGGTTGACTTCTCATTTGCCTCAATACCTGTTTTGCTAGATTGGTTAACAAAAAACTGGCATATTAAATTTCCATACTGAGGAAAATCTACTCCTGCACCACGAAAGGCCCTTGACTGTACAGCGAAATGAACGCTTCCACTCGATCCGCAGTTCTCTGGATTTCATAATACTTTTATTGTTTATTAATTGCAATAGTTTATCCGCGGGTTTGTCTTCTCAATTATTGGTTTTGTGGGGTGAGGTACTTACTTTCGTGGAAAGAATGAACCCCAGCCTGGTACAACTGGTGGTTTCTTCGACAGCCACAAGACAATAAGAACTACAAAATGGGCTACTACTGATTTCTCAGCAAACCTGAATAGAATAAGTTTATAAAATATAGAATTTCACTACTGAAATGAAGGAAAATATTCTCAATATTTGCTTTTTAGTCTGTCATATTTACTTCCATTTGGTTAAAAACATGGATCCTATTTGGTGTCTATTTTTATAGTTAAAACTTCCGTTAACTTGTCTGCACTACAAATAGAAATATAGAACTGTATTTTGATCATATTGAAATCGCAGACTAAATAGCAAAAATAGAGAATCAAAAAATGGTCTTTCAAATAACCCATTGACCAAAAAAGTTATTACAATTGATCAGTCTTAACGAAAGATATTGCCATACACACTTTTCTATTTATCTCATCTTTAATGTCTTATAATGGCCTGTCAAGGATTCTCGATTTATGTCCATGAACATCGAGGTCAAGATAATATCTAGTCTGGGCCTTTTTTTTTTAAATTGGCTTTTCAGTTCATATTTTTATTACATTTAAATGGCAAGCTTACGTTATTGGGCCTAATTCATCATATTGTCTTTTTAACAGATTTCCAACACCCTCATCCGTACCACACTTCCATTTCATCCATTTTCTATACAAAAAAAAAATATCATGCAAATGTAGTACATCACGTGACTTATTAACATAAACGGAAACGACGCCGAGATCATCCTGGGTCGGTCTCAAAATTAATGTAGTGACTGCAGTCGATCTCAAAATCATGCATCGGCGAACAAATGAATTAATGGGCTAAATAAAAAATGTCAAAATAGAAGTGAAAAATCCCAAATACATAATATATCAAAATAGAAGTGAAAAATCCCAAATACTTAATATATTTCTAGACTATGTATGTGTATACGTATGATTCCTTTAATTGGAAATTCGATCAGTCAACCACGCCCTAATTTATCTGAAATCCCGGACTGAAACACTGTTTCCACTGACTAGACGATGTTTCAAATTGCTGCTTACAATGCCTGTAACACCAGCATCTGCTGAGCGCAGGGTTTCAAAGATCAAATTAATAAAAACTGTTATGCGTTCAGTAATGAAACTATTGACGCTTGCTTGTGAGCGTGACCTGGCGGACACGATCAACCTTGACAAAATCGCCGATCGGTCGTCAAACTTGATCAAACGCGGACGCTTGATGAAAATATAAGGACATAGTCATATCTTTGCTAATTTATGTATATTCACCCTAACAATATATCGAAGATACAGGTCCGTATAAATGATATAATTACATTATCACTTTCAAAAGTTGTCCCAGATTTACAGTACTTTGTACGTTCTTGCAAAATTCTAAATAAATACCATGAATTCCCATGGTCAAATACCTTACAAGGAGAGCAGTTTCCCGGATTCCCCATAGAGAGCTCGCACCTGGGGTGCCCGGTTCGCTGCTGCTTCACTCATATTAGGGGCCTGTGCATCAGTCGGTTTCATAGTTCCTACCCCCCCACCCCCAACAAAATCGATATGTAAGGCCCTGTTGTCGATTTCCTTATATCTAGATTGTTGCGCCTCACCTTGGTCCCATAAAAAACAGTGATAACCATAACCAGGCTAATATCACTGAGATAACAGATCCCGGTAGAGCAAATATCATCCACGATACGAAATTCACACCGGAATCCAAACCTCGTTCACTAAATATTCTGAAATAGATGTATAATAATTGTCGTATTAAAATAAATACCACTATAGAAGACTAATTACAAAGAGCAATGACCAAGGGCGTCCTACCGAAAACTAGCTTTTTGGGATAAACTTTATGATTTAGCCACCAAAGAATTTATTAAAACAAAAGTACGGCCAACATTTTAAGCAATGTGAACTTGCAAAATAAATTGAAAGTCGTATCAGGCTTTCGGAAATTGTAGCCATATCCTTCCTCTTGAACGCTATCTATCACTACTTAAGCCTTATTAGTGTATTCGATGGTGGTTGGGAGGATTTCTGAAATCGAATATATTTTCTATTCATTTGTAAAAACCGTTCATGTCGTTGCCTTATGAACAAAATACTTTTATAAATGAAAATATTTGCCACAAACAGATCGTCATTTCATGTATGTACATAATGTTTATTAGTCAGTTGACATTGTTAGTAATCAGGTGATAGTCATTAAGAAGGTGTAATGTCACTATAACATAATGTTTATTAGTCAGTTGACATTGTTAGTAATCAGGTGATAATCATTAAGAAGGTGTAATGTCACTAAAACCGTGACTATTGAATTATATACACCACGATTGTCCAGGTTTGAGTATAGTCATGCTTTCACACTAGAAGTTACATCTTTAATTCACAGGTAATTACAAACCTGCTAATTAATGACTGCTGTATAATTTCTAACCTCTATAGATACTAAACATTAGATAAGAACAATGATAACAATGTTCATCAATCAGCGATATCACCTCGGTGGAAGCCGTCGTAAAATACAACTAACTCACACAAGTAAGCGGTATCAGCTTAAAGCCCACCGCAGACCGACTAACATTTCTTGGCGTCTAACAAAACAAATGTTTTATACCTTTTTATATTTCTCCCGCAAACGAAGAATGTATAATGCAACCGACTAACATTGGTTTAAAAAAAGACCGACGTTGATGTCATATGAATGGCCCGAACAGGATGTCCGTATAAAATGTTGGCCGAACAATGTTTGATCTCGCGGACATTGTTCAGCCAACAAATCTTCCTGTTGAAATCAAACGCACACTGACTAACTTTTGTCGGCAAACATTGTTCGGCCAACAAATGTTTGCCTGTCTGCGGTGGACGTAACAGTAACAGTTGCTTACATTTCAGCTTGACCTTGTAAAATAAGATTGGGTGAAGTACCAGACAATGAACCACTGCCACCAATATTAGCAGCATATGCTACACATATACACATTCCTTTACACAGTTTTTTGTAATTATCTTCCTCTGTTTTAAATGGGTGACGCTTTGATAAAATAGAAGATCCTCTGTAAGTTAATTTGAATATGAAAAAAAATAATATATTATATGAATGTTTCTGGAAACATTTAATTTGGGTTGAGTGTTTCTAATTAACAAGTATTGACATATCGTCCTTGAGCGGCATTTAGCAATTGATACGCGTAATAAACACAGAAAAATGTCGTTTTAATTAAAATAGTAATTGTGTTCCATATTATGTTTTTGTGTTTATTAAGTATTGTGGTACTATGAACCAGCAACCGAGTTTGACGTCATCACAGCCATCTTGGAATTGTGACGCCATATCATTAAATCGAAATCCGTCAGATTCATGTCATTCGTGTGGAGCCTTAGGCCTTGTCGAAAAGTATGATCCCCAAGAACAACAAGAACAACATTATGAGTAGCAGTCCATAATAATAAGTTTAGGAGAACGTATACATAATAGTTGTTCTTATTGTATGACTACCAACCCATTAATACATTAGCTGTTATTTTATTTATACAAGATAGGTGGATGGGTATGTTTAGTGCTCAATCTGCGTTCCATTTTGTTCCCGTCAGATTTTCATTTAAATTTCATACCATATATAGTTTTCCGCTAATAATATAAAGATTTTTTTTTTACATTTTTTATTACAAAATAATACTAAAAGTACACCGGTTTTTGTTCTTATATATATGCCTCGATATTTTGTAAAAACTTTTTGAAGATTCTGAAAGTCTTACCTTTTAGACAGATTATTGTCTATCAAATCATGTTCTTCCTCACCTGTAATATTTATAGAATGATATATCATAGATGATTTCATACTAAACAGGGGATCACGTGGCTAAGTTGGAAGACGCTGGCTCGCTAGCCTGAAGGTCGGGTGTTCGATCCCGGCATTGGCCGAGAAAGTTCATCTAGATTTTCCGGCGTGGTTTCCCCTTGTCAGTGATACAGGACGGAGGGCCTGACATATGACAAGGACAGTTGTCTAGTCGTTCGGAGGTCCCGTGTCCCTTGGCAGTTGGAATTCGATATAAGAGGAGGCCGTAGCGCCGCTGCCCGGGCAAAATTTCCCCCATACCTCACTGTATGGCGTATGCCCGTCTTCATTAGCCCAGTTTAGGAGCAGAACAGTAGGATGTTAAACCCCATTTCATTTCATTTCATTTCAGTTCATTTCATACTAAACTTACGCTGTCTATCTACAATTAGCTCTACTTGAGAATATACGCTAGAAACATCAGGATATACTATATACTATATAAAGATCGTTCTTGTGGGATGGCGGAGGGAGAACCCCCACCGGACCCCGTTACAGTCGGGGACCCTCACAGGATTAGGCTTAGGGCCCCCACGACCCCCATTCCGTCCATGATTTATCCCTAATCTCTTTACAACCAAGTATAAAGCCAAAAAGGTTGTTTATAACATTGTCTATAACGATGAAATGGAATGGAGTTTAACGTCAGCATTAACAGAACTTGTAAAGTCGGGTATACGTCATGCAGTAAGCTATAGGGAAAATTTAACCCTGACATCGGCGCTATGGATACTTTAGTACAATTTCGAGCTGCCAGGACGTCTTTAACGTCGTGCCGGACAAGAAGCGTTCTAATATTGGGCCATGTATGTCCTAAAAAACTGATAAAAGGGAAACGAGGCTAGAACATTACGATGAATATAAAATCTGGAGCTTCTAAATTCTGTTGGAACAGATTTCAGAAAGTTCGCGCATCTAATAATCTTCCAGGAAATGGCCCGATAAAGGCAAATCATTACAACTAATGTAATACACACTGACCCTGGCAGTTCTGACGTCTTTAACTCATTTTACGCCTCCGCGTACTATATTATGTACCCATTTTTATCCAGATTTACTTCAAGCACCTTTATTTGTTTTCTCAATAAATTAAAAAATATTTTAGAATTTAATTTGCAGAAGGAAAAATAGTGATATTGAGAGCTAATTAACTCGCCCCGAGTTCATCTCTATCAGTGATATTGGTAGCCAAGCGAATATTTGCTGTTGATCAGTTTGCTTTAAAACGCTTACCTTTTATTTTGTGTTGAGCAGGATCAAGTTCCTGTAGAACAGCCTGTACTATTGGTAACATCATGGCGGTTGTAGCAGTATTACTCATCCACATGGACATAAACCACGTGGGTACCATAAAACCTAACATTAACCTGAATACAGACATAAAACCCAACATTAACCTGAATATATAGACATAAAACCCAACATTAACCTGAATACAGGCGAAAAATCTAGCATTAGCGTTAATATTTTAAAAAACCTAACATTAACCTGAATACAGACATAACACCCAACATGGCAGTATGGCAGTTTTGGTATACATGGAAAGCAGAGACACCTAATCTCATTAGAAAAATATCTGATTCTTTGAAAAACACTTATGGGGCGCGCACAAGACAAAATGTGAGGGTATCCATAATAGACAGCCTGTCTCCTAGTTGCGTAAAGCCGCCTAGCTCACAAACCGCCGTCAGTGTTTTGACACGCACGGGTCATAGGGTTTGGTAGCTCGCAGAACAACCGCAAGAATCCAGGTGAAGATTTTGTATGTGCAGGACTAAAAGTCTCTACGGCCGGTCTGCGATCTTCTACGGTGCCGAACACACGCAAGTGACGAGTAAGACTACCCCCCCCTCCCCCGTAGACTGCCCTCAGTAGTACGTATGGCGGGTTGTGACCTAGGCTTAAAGGGACTATTTCGATTTGATCAGAGTCTCAAAATAAAAAGTCCGAGTACGTATGAAATGTAAGCGCCAAAATATAGAGGAATGGTGTATTTACCTTGTCTCAAATGTTCAGCTCAAAATATTGAGTCGTTTCTACGTGAACGTCAAAAATGCTTATCCGGACACGTAACCCTTTTAAGATTTCGGGTCAATCTTTTCGTTGGGTTACCTGATAATCGATTCCCGTTCCTTTAGAGGTGTATACATTAAATGACCCATGTGCTGTACTTGATAACTAAAGGTAAATTTCACCTACGTATTAGTTTTATAAAATAAAAGCCTGGTTTTTCCAGATACAGCATAATACAGCTTGGGACATCGTTCTCCATTTCCAGTTGAAGACTGAGGGTTTAAGTTGTTTAAAAACGTATCACAAATATTGAGTAATTGCTCGGCCCTTAGGTAGAGGATTTTAAGGGATTTTAACACACAATTAAGTAGTTTTATTCTCCAAAAAATTATCGGGATTGGCCCTTTAAGAAACGTTACTTGTGTGTGGATGTAATGGCTAATTAGTTATGAGAACATTGAGAGACTTAAACGTCGAAAAAAAGTGCCATTAAATGGCGGAAAAGAAGTAAATAGAAGATATTCAAGTTTTTACTGACGACAATTACAGTCTGTAAATGGAATCTGCCTCAACCAATTCACTTGATAAACATGGCTGATAAAAAATATAAACATGCACTAACATAAACAACAACAAAACCCTTAAAACACAAACAAACCGATGTTAAACAAACTTACCATTTTGGATTGGAACCAGCAAGAAGTAATGTTCTTAATGCAATTCTTTTATGTAGCCGACATTTTTCAACCGCTATAGCAAATGTTAAGCAACTGAAACCGAACATAGACGCATCCTGAAATATATTCAAATTATTATAAATCAGCCTGGCTCAGTAAAATAAGGTTCTGTGGAGTGTTATAAACCATAACCAATCCAAAATCGTTATAAAAATGTAAATTCACGTGAACAGGAAAAAATGTCATTTATTATACGCAATTTTACAATTATAATAGCAAATTCTAAGCACGTCATATCACTGTAGCAAAAGAATACCGACAATTTCACAGTAACCACAGTTAACGATATACAGGCAATTTCACAGAAGATCGGAAATTTCACAATAACAAGAGTTAAAGATATACCGGCAATTTCACATACCGATAAAATCACAATAACAATAGAAAATCACATGTCGACAATTTAACCGTAAAAACAGGAATTGAAAAAGTACAATTTTTGGGTGATAATCTGCAATTCCCAGTAACACCAGGAAATTGCAAATAATATGTCATCTCAAAATATAACAGGGGGTGGGGTGGGGCAAACATGCAGCATATGATTTTTTATTTCTATCTGGGTAGAATAATAATATTAAGTAAACAAAACACGTGTAACACAAAGCACAGGACCTGCACATCCCGAAATTCACAAGTTTTCTCGCCACCGGGGCTCGTTATGTTCCAATGTCCCAGTGCTTGAGATGTTTGGTTATTTTTAAAAAATACCGACATGTTTATTTTCAGTTGAATAATATAGCTGAGAAAATGTATGAATGCAAGACAAACCTTGATATAGTTTGCACAGATTTTACCCACTGGTTGAACTTCTAGAAGGGGAAATATCAGTACTGGAAGTAAGGCTGTACATGCTAAAGGTAAAGCCTCGGTTATCCAATAAACTGTCATAATAGATAAACCATAGGCGCATCTTGATTCCTGAAATTAATTAAAATTAATATACCATTTTGTTTTTGGATGCATATCCTGAGACAAACAATGCTGATCGGCGAATTTCGTCCACGAGCGAGTGCTTAGAATCGCTTCATTCTGGAAAAACTCATGCCAATTGTTAATCATTGTGTACTATTTGCGTTTGTATATCCGATGTTTCGACTATCGAAATCTAAATCACCACCATGATGGGTGTCGACACGGTGCAGAAGAACACGACTAGGCCTTCAAAGATACATGATATTTGAAGAACGTTGGCACGCACGTTTAACTTTATTTTAGCCTGGAGACGCCCAAAACAACAAGGTTTTTGTATTTTATGGGTTGTCCTTGGCATTGTCCAGTGGTGCAAAACGGGCTCCGATTGAAGGTCTGACAAAGAAACGGGCTTAGTCGTTCGGAGGTGACAAAAACCCTTGTACTGGTGTATACCATAGGGGGCATGTTAAAGATCCCCTAACAAAAATCGAAATAAGAGTATAACCCATGTTGTATACCCATTTATTTCAGGTTTGGTGCAGGACGGAGGGCCTGGCAAGGGAAGCTGTCTAGTCGTTCAGAAGGGACGAAAAAACCGAGGTCCCGTGTACACATAAGCAGTTGGAATTCGAAATAAGATTAGGCCGTAGCGCCGCTGTCCGGGCAAAATGTTCTACATAGCACACTGTATGCCCGTCTTCATTAGCCCAGTCGAAGCAGAACATTAAGATGTTAAACACATCTCATTTCATTTAATTTCAAGTTTACACATTATCTTTTTTTAATTTTGACACATTATAAATACGTGATCATACATAAACAGTGTGAAACAATTGTAACCTATATATTATTCATGTCTCAATGTTGTGTATAAGTACATCTATACTATTGCCCTTTGTCTTGTTTTATTGTATGTGGCCATTAAACTTACTGTTTGAGAAGTTTATTTAAATAGACTTAGAATTAAAGCCACTTCTTATTGGTAATGAAAATGTACGAAAATTAGAACCTGCAATCTGATTAAACTAGTTCTTTTTTCAATTCGCATTTATATCATATTCTGTATTCGAGAGCTAAATCTGTCTAATGCAAATCTTTCTCGTTTGATCTCAACTGTTATATAACTCATTAATTAGATATTTATTTACATGCCAGGCCCATAATCATCTCTCTAGAACTTCGAATGGTTTTGATTTTCAACAGTAAATGATTTAATTTACAAATGGATAATCGAGACTTTGTTTATTATCATAACAACGGTAGCAATGGCAAACGAGACATGAAGTCGTATAAAGTTAACTCGATCATTAAGATCCATTTACTTTGTTGTCTATTTCTTGCAATCTCTGTGTAGTTTGTCTTGTCACCAGGAGTAGGGTTACCTGTCCAGCCTCGTGGGTTTTCTCCGGGTCCTCCGGTTTCCTCCCACTGCTAAAGACCCATACGCGCAAGCGAATTATTGAAATAAAATTAAACCATATGTTAGTCCCGAAATGACCTAGTTTGTGTCGGGTGGACGTTAAACTCTCTCTCTAATATCGGGTGACCCAGAAAAACGAGTACATTATTTAAAGTGTAATATATCACATTAGATCAACTAAGTTTAATTTGACCTGAATTAGAGAATTCTTACTCCTTTTAAATATGGCAATTGTTTTAATAAAAAAAAAAAATGCGCTCCTACTAATCAACGACTAAAAACGCCCATGAAGGTCATTGTCGTTGTTTAATACCCCAAAAGTAGGGTAGATATATGTTGGCTTGGAACACCGAGACGTGGCATCATGTGTTTTAGGAAGAGTAAACATACTTATACTCATGCACGACACCATTCGCTAATTATAGCTAGCTAACTGGAACGGTTATTAGATTTAAGATTCAAGCCTCAAGCAGATTCGCCAACCTTGCTTAAAAGGTACAGGTAGGTCAAAGGGTAGAGTGGGATGGTGTGTTGAATATCCAGATTGATATCGCCGTAATTTTAATATCGTCAACCATATTTATGACTCTCTTTAAATAAGTATTGAAGAAAAATACACTTACTATAGTTTGTCCGAGAACAGCTATTGGTAGAAATATAATCGGTGTAAATATAACGATTAAAGTTTTTTTAACCAGCCAAAGTTCCCTCAAAAACGTCAATAGCGACATTTCGTACAATTTCCAATGTCGAACAGCTCCATACACATGCTGGTCCTCAATCAGTGTGAGGAGCTGAAGTTTGTTTTGTCAAATTAGTATTCCATGACACACTTAAAGTCTTCATTGCTATCCTCTCTAAAACTTGACTTATCTTGGGTATACAGATTAATCTCGCTAATGTTTGAGCTTATAATTGACATAAAGGACTGTTCAAGATAAATGTGCATTGTACACAGATGGTCAATAATAATAATAATAATAATAATAATAATAATGTGTCCATTTATATAGCTCCAAATCCACAAATCGTGGCTCTATGTTTGTTTTTTGTTTCTTTGTTTTGTTTTTTTGTCAATTTCTGTAGTGAGGTTTGAAAAGATGAGTTTTTAATCGAGATTTAAAGATTGATAAAGAAGTCACATATAGCATAAACGTAGTATTGACATTTTGAGGGAGCCACGGTGATTCACCGTGTAAGACTAACCAAGGGATCCCGACGGGTCCACCCCAGTGTTGGACGAGTAAGTTCCTATGGATGTTTCAGGCGTGGTTTCACCTTGTCTGTGGTGTGGACAGGATGGTCTAGCAAGGAACAGTGTACAGCTGTTCGGATAGGACGACAAACCGAGGTCCCTTGTGCAGTGCAAAGAGCCCTCGGCAGTTTGAATTTGAAGAAGAAGAGCTGAAAGGGTCGCTGCCCCCTCCCGTCTTAATATGCACACATATTGAACGCATTTCCAGTGGAGACCTTAAATATAAATAAATATTACCTCAATTGTAGAGGGCCCTTGACGTTTGGAATTCAGTATACGAGGTCATTAACCGGGAGGTCCGGGGTTGGATGCCGGTGTTGGCTGGAATTTTCCAGTGTGGTTTTCCCTTGTAAGTGGTGTAGGACGGATGACCTTTCAAGGAACAGTGTCTAGTCGTTCGGATGGGAGGACCTGTGTGCACGTTGGTGTGCACTTAAAAGAGCCTTTGACAGTAGGAGTTCGAAATAAGAGTAGGTTAGGTCGTAGAGCCGCTGTCCGGACAAAAAGTTTTCCATAGCACACTGTATGGCGTAAGCCCGTCTTCATTAGTCTAGTCGAGGCAAAAAAGTAGGACGTTAAACCCCATTTTATTCCTCGACCTGTGTTAATAAAATTAATACATTTCGAGCATATGGACATGCGCGCACACACCTGCAAATAATTGTAGAATTGCAACCGTATGAAGTTTTGCGCCGCTCCACCCCTCTCACACGCACTTTTCGCTGGATTCGCCCCTGAGATATTACTCCAGGTGAGCATGCTATATGTAAGGCCGATGACCACCTATCTTATTTGATTTCTTTACTTGGAGAACAAGTGTAATCAAGTGCCTTCTTATTTTTTCGGGAAACAAAACATCTTTGAAATGAAATGAAATGAAATGGGGTTTAGCGTCCTATTGTTCTGCTCCGAACTGGGTTAATGAAAACGGGCATACGCCATACAGTAGGCTATGAGGGAAGTTTTGCCCGGACAGCGGCACTACGACCTACTCTTATATCGAATTCCAACTGTCAAGGGATCTTTTACGTGTAAACGGGACCTCGGCTTTTCGTCCCATCCGAACGACTAGACAGCTGTCCTCGTGATGCAGGTGGCTATTTTATATATCAAGACTGAAAATCAAATTGATGTGGCCTAAGTAAGCGAGCAATACTTAAAGGGATTTATAATACAAATACATTAGAGGTATTAACTATCTGGACACTCTACCATGTTTTGATTTCAATTAAAACTGTTATGTTAAGTAGGTCACATTATTCATAATCAGAAAAAAATGCAATGGTCTAGATTATCATACTGATATAAAAATAATACCCCCTTCTGTAGGTTTAAATCTACTGGCGGTAACTCTTCTAGTATCTGTGCTTAGAAGAAGAAAATATAAGAAGAAAACACAATTACAACTAAGGGGGTGAATGGAACTCTAATAATATTTATTCCTTAGACCACCCTAGTAACCAAACACCTCCAAAATTATCAGGATTGGATGCCGGGTCACCTTTTGGGTAGCGAGCAGGAATGACGGTTTTCTTGTAAAAGTTCAGGCGATCTGGCTATCTTTGTACGATATCTGGATTTTGATCAGCAATATTATAATGTTCACAAGGATCTTCTGTAAATATATAAATACAATGTATAAAGAGGCGCGAAGACTCCACGAAGATAATATGGTTAAATCGGGCATATTGACTTTAGATGTCAACAATAGATACATGAGAGGAGGGGGGACGAATGTGTTCCCCCACTGCTAAAGACACATACGCGCAAGCGATTTATTTGATAACATAATTTGTGTCGAGTGGCCGTTAAACTCTCTCTCTCTCTCTCTCTCTCTCTCTCTCTTCAAAACTATTAGTGTGTATGTGTGTGTGTATTTGTGTGGTAAAACATCTTATCGTTCATGTGTATACACTGACTTAAGTGTGGGAAAGAACCCTTAACATTTGAAATTCGAAGACGCAAATGGGCCCTCATGCATGGCGTATGCCCTAACTGTTACAAACGGTATCCATAGATAGTTTAATTCAATTTACAATATTTCATTTTTAACAGTGATCGCGACACTTTCCTTTAACATATACTAAACAGCAAAAAAAAATCAGAGAAGCACTTTAATCAAATCATTCTAGAAGACGACTTACTAAATGGATCAAAGCAATTGTTTGTGAACAGTATGTTGACACATTAGTGATTAATTCATCACAATTCCAAGACATTACGAGAAGGTTTTGAGTCTGTACACAGTCTATACATCAGTATCTGGTGTGTCCACCGCGAGTATCAATAACAGCAGCGCAGCGTCTGTACATGGAGTGGACCAGACGAATGATGAACACCACTGGCACCTGGAACCACACTCTCAGAAAAGCCTGGCGCAATCCATCGCCTGTGTTTGGTCTCGGTACGACGTTATTAATTCTCCTCTGAATTTCATCCCAAAGATGTTTAATCGGGTTTAAGTCCGAACTAAGGGCTGGCCAGTGCATAACGTTGACACCGTTCTGCTGTAGAAAGTACCGAGTAACTCTGGCGGTGTGGGCACGGGCGTTGTCATGCTGGAAAACGTTGTTTCGATGACGTGCAAAATGTGGTATGACGTGGGGTCTGAGAGCTTGATCGATGTAGCGCACTGCTGCGATGCCGCTTCCCCTCCCTGGACCAAGATTTTGAGACCCCACAGAACCCACTCACCTGGTTCACCCCAAACCATTATGCTTGGACCTCCCCATGAGGCTCGTTCCATGACACACTGGTCAGAATAACGCTGGCCACGTCGACGCCATATTCTGGTCCTGCTATCTGCAGTTGATACGCAATACCGACTCTCATCTGTGACAGAACAGTGGCGAGGGGTGAGGATATGAAAATGGAATTGAACCATTTTGGGACTGTTATTCCTATTATAGTTTCATCTTTCAAAGGTGATTGTATGGCTTTAAGATGATCCATCGGGGATTTAACATGTAACATTATGCAAAGATCAGAAAAAGAATCGCTATATTGACTCAAATATATTTTCACAATCTATAGTACATCAATAAGATCATTTACAAAAAGTTAAATTTGTATTTTATGAAAGCGATCGGCAAGAGAATCTATGTATTGATATAAATACCTTCTGCATTAAAGAAATATTAAAAAATATATAGAATCAGATATTGATTGTTACAAACCCGTATTCTTGAATTATTGACCCAAAGTTTTTATAATTGATTATCTTTGAGAAATATTATTTTAAAAGGGTATATTTTTGACAAGGCGTGTGCAATAATTTCAACCACCGTACTGGTTGTTCGAAGCTAGGTATCGCTCCTCCATTTTTAGATTAAATCAAAATATGTCTGAACCGTTCTAATCTATTTAATATCGGAGAAATCCGATGCCATCGAGAGTTGATTATGGTTTGGATCAGTTAATTAATGTCTAATTAATAATTTAGAAAACATTTCCGGCCCAAAGAAAGACCTGCAATAGGCAGATTTAGCTCTTGCATAATGTATGTTTAATATCTCCCCTAATGAAGTTTGGTGGTTCATGATGGAATGTCGCGTTACCAGCACTCAACAAACGAAACCAAAACCAAACAAAGCATCAACAGAATCTTTCTTCTTAGATAATATTCTTGAAATTGTTAAATAAAATATGATTTAATACACATTGTCTATAATGTCTTACCCCGTTACAAGTACTATAGAAATGTCATGTATGATCATGGCGCATATTTATTTTCCGTTTACGATGAGTTATGACATAGCCATTCAACCATAAATACATCATATACTTGGAGCCACAATAGTGCATCGCTGGCTCACTAATTGGGAGACCAATGGTTCAATCCCGGTATTATTTGAAATGAAATAAAATGGGGTTTAACGGCCTAATGTTCGGCTCCTATTGGTTTAATGGGTATACGCCATGTAATGTGCTATGTGGGTATACGACCTACTCATATTTCGAATTCCAACTGTCGATAATTCGTCCCATCGGAACTACTATCTGTTGTCCATTGCCAGGTGCTCCGTCCTACATCACTAAAAAAGGGGTACCACACCGGAAAATCCCGATGAACTTTCTAGGTCAACGCAGGAATTGAACACGGAACCTCCATGTCTTACTCACTGAGTCACCGCCGCTCCCAGTATTATTCGAGAATGTTCCTCAGAGGAGGGACTAGCAACTAAAAGCATCTATTCCTTCGGATAGGAAGAAAAACTGAAGTTCCGTGTGCAAATTGGCGCGCACATAAAAGAACCCTTGGCAATTTGAATTTGTTGAAGAATAGTCTGAAACGCTGCTGCATGGCGTTTGTCATATTCATTTCCCGAAGGTGCAGATCCCCATTTCATTTATTACTTATTATCATTAGCGTGGAAATGTAGTAACAGAGAAATCGCCGGTGTCCCTATGCGTCTTTCTGCGACTCTTAGCCCCATACTCACGATGTGTTTGATTACATATGAATCCCAATCTTGAGTCTTTCGGGAACCTGGTTTTCGACTCCATGTAGGTTAATGTTTTTTCCGATACCTGTCTTT